GAGCTACTTTACTCCATCAGTTTCATTGCAGTCTCTGTTCTCTAATTTTCGCAATTTTGGTGACACAGGCACCAGTCTAATAAATTAACTTTGGGGCATCTGGACACCTGTGAGATGGCAGTAATTAATATAGCAAAACTGCAGCCATGATATGGACTGCTCAGTGTGGGACCAGAGAGAAAGCAAAAGTGATATTTTTTCAAATTAAAACTGATTTTGGTCACATTATCACTGTCATTGCCACAGAGCTGCAGGTGGGAATGTAACCTGGTGTCAGAGACCCCTGTGGCTGGCAGCAGTGGTGGGTGTCCATTCCCACATCCCAGATTGTCTCTTTCCTAGATTGTGGGCTCTCTGTGGGCAGTGCAGAGCAATCCTTCTCTCCAGAGCTGGGCAGCAAAGGGCTGCTGGAGGGGAAACACTTTTGTTTCCCTCCCTTTACAGTCTGTTGCATCCTGCGTTTTGGCTCACACAGGAACTTCATTGATCCTTGCAGGCCTTGCCATAAGCTGCACTAGGGATGTAGGTAGTTTATAAATGCACTACTAAATAAAACAGCTTGGGCAGCAGGCACAGGAATCAGCCAGGAGCCAGCAGGGACACACAGGGAACAGCAACTCCATCTCACATCTCAGAACCAATGTTAGCACCCTATTTGTAGTAAGTTTAAAAGTGAATGCAAGCGAGTTGCTTCAAAATAAAAATACTTTCCACAGTGTTAATAGGATGAGGTTTTAGACGTGATTTCAGTGAGTCTTCAGGTTCAGAGCTTTCTGTGCATCAGGCAATGACACCTGGGCTTTCCATGGAAAGGGCAATGGATAATGCCAGAGCAGGGTGATCTTCTCAAGCCCCAGCCCTGCTCTGGCTGATTTTTGCCTCCAGCTCATCTCGACATCCTTGCTGCATTCTGTTAGTTGTTCCTAGTTATGATGGGATGTTTCACTCCCTTCAGAGGAGCAAAACTTCACTCCGACTGCTCTCCTTGCTGCTCTGAAGTCTCCTTATCTGAGCATCTCAGCTGTGTGCTCCAAGTGTCATTGGGGGCTGTTTTCCCTGCACCGAGCCCCAGCCTATGCCTCCCTGCTGGCCTGCAGCCTTGTCTGTACACGTCCCTGTCACAGTTAGGAATCAGTTCTTGTCACAATGCCTTATCTTCCCACGAGGTGCTGCTAGGTTCTGTAATATTTAAGCAATTCTGGATACAGCTTGAGTCTTTGGTTTTTTGGTTGTTGTGATTTCAGTAAAGAGTTGTTGAATTTCATATGCTTCTGCTTTCTGACAGAACAAAATAGTCTTTTCCCTTGAGACATAAATGTACCAATTTAGCTCTGTCTTAGCCTTGGTTTCTCCAGGAATTTCTTAAACAGTACCCTGCAGGCACTGCAGAGAAGTTTGATAACATTAATATAATCATAGACACATAAAACCCAAGCTATTGATTTTGAGGAAGAAGAAAATTAAGAACAAAACCCTGCAAAGAAACTTGCCTTTTTCTGCTCCAGGGACAATTTGCTGTTGCACTTATTATGCTTCCCTTCTGAAGGAGTAGTCTTTCCTGTGGAGCTTTGGTAATGAACAATTTAACTACTTTTATATTAATGTTTGTCTGATAACAATTTTTTTCCCCTCTGTTTTGGAATAACTCCTGAAATTTGAGAAAAGCTAGTTTTTACCATTGCTGAAAAAGTCCTGATTAAAGCATCCAAGGATTCTGACTTGCAATAGTCTGCAAACTTGACTGCTTTGTGCTTTTAAATGTATTCTCTAAAGTCAGTGGGGACTTTTGTTCAAATACAAAAGGGAAAGTCATTATTGTGTTTCTGTGCGTATGAAAATTAAGCAGCATTTTGTAATGACAAAATGTACCAAAATGTACTCCAGTACCTCCTGCTTAATTATCTTGACCTATCTTTGATATTCACTTGCAACCTCTTATTTCCAAAATGCAGTCAGCATGTGGGAATAGGATTGGATGTTTGAAATTAATTCTTCAAACTACAAAATAGATAAGGCAAAAGGCCACCTGAGTACTTTCCTAGAGTCTGGGATGGAAACTAGAAGACAGAAGGATGTAACAGGTGATTTAGCTGCAGTGCCAGGAGTAAATCCTCAAACAGTTTGTGAGAAAACTAATGGTTGTGTTTTATTGTAAGCAGTTAAAGGTCTGAATGTTGGAATAGATGCCGTGTGAGATTTTAAAATGCACAGAAACACAATTATCTGCGTAAAAGAAGTGTTCCTTACAAAGATGGATTGCATATTTAGGATTCTCTTGAGCCACTACAGCAACAACATCAATCTGCAAAACAGCAGAGATGTTTTTTGGTTGTAGTAATTCTTTATTGTTTCTGTCTCCCGTCTCATTTTTCTCATGAGACTACAGAAAAAGCTTTTTAAGACAAGTGGAAGTTTCTAGTTCTAAAATGAATATTTTTTCAACAACTAGTGCTTATGGGAAAGCAATCTAGGAAAAAACAATATAATTTTCCCCTTTACTCCCTTCCCCCATGGCTCTTCCTTTAAATATGATGGAACCCTAATCTGTGCTCTTTAGAGTAGAGGTAATGAAATTACAGAAAGGATGTGAAAAGTATCTGTGAAGGTAAGCTAATACTTTCCATTGTGTAAGCCACAGATATACTGCCTGAAGACACATAATATGAGAAAGTTAAAGGAAAGAAATCAATATGAGGAAAGATTTTATTTTTCATTTTGGTTTTAGAGATCCATTTGGCAAAGAGTTACTTAAGAAGTATGCTTAGGTCCATTTAATTCATTCTTAATTCATCTGTATTTTCAAGATCTCTGACATGCCAAATAAATAACTCATCTTATACACCTGCAATATGCTTATTGAGTCAGTGAGATCCTGCCCCAGCCTTTCTAAAGCACTAAGTCCTGGGCTTGATATTCACTGCTGATAGGGATATTTGCATCTGTCTGCTCCTGGTTTGTTACCCAATGCTGCCTCTAAGATGTCAGTTTACTACTGTTACCATGACACTTACTTCTCATGAGGTTTGTTCCAAAGAAAGCTATACAGCATTTTAGAACTGAAAAATACATTTCTAACATGTTTTGATGTCCATTCTCAATTACTGAAGATGTGACACGCCATGTTTTAGTGTGCTTTTAGGAAGAAAGTGGGCCTTTTCATATATTTCAGCCCAAATGAATCTTACTTTGGCTTATTTATAAACTGGCAGTTTGAAACAATAGAATCAATTGTTCCTCCCTGCATGTCTGTGTGTGCGAATTCCACAAACAGGTAAATGTGTGTAACCACAGGGAAATCCCACAAACAGGTAAATGTGTGTAACCACAGGGAAATCCCACAAACAGGTAAATGTGTGTAACCACAGGGAAATCCCACAAACAGGTAAATATGTATAACCACAGAGAAATCCCACAAACAGGTAAATATGTATAACCACAGAGAAATCCCACAAACAGGTAAATGTGTATAACCACAGGGAAATCCCACAAACAGGTAAATGTGTATAACCACAGGGAAATCCCACAAACTGGGATTTAATGTGTAAATGTGTATTCCACAAGTATTTCCAGGGACATTTCCAGGCATTTAAGTGAGATACTTTAACCTGAGCAGTACCCACAGATGCACACCTGCTGTACCTACACATCATTCATGAGACATGAGTGATCACTACATATCCTTTTACAGAGAGGTTCTCTCAGCCATCTGCCTGGGTCTGGGGTGTTATTTTTCATTCTCATGCTCTGGAGAGATTTGACCCTCTTGCTTTTTGAGGCTACTTTTTATTTTGAGGAATCCCTCTTTTCTATTCTATTTAATTTGGTTTTATCTGGCCTGGTTTTATCTTCATCTAAACAGTCAACTCATTAATCTCCTGTCCTTTGAAATCTGTAGGCCTGTTCCTAATTGTGGATTCCTTCAGTCATCCAACCCTGCAGGAGAATTTGTATTTAGTATTGACTACTTTAATGGGCTGTCATTTCAGCCTAAGGCTGTGTGGTCCCTACTTCACCTGTCCATAAAATCAGCCTTGTTCCTGGTTGTTACTTTTTTAGTCACCACAGTTATGCCACAAATGCATTCTATAGATGCTTTTGTTCTGTGTGTGAATTATCAAGAAAGAATTCAGGTAAACTGAAAAATAACATTTTCTGGTCATTTGTCTCTCAAATATAGCTTGTTTTTGAAATTTCATTTAAAATAATAGGATGGTTTATGAATACCTGTTAGGTAATTAAATTTACAGGGAAAAAAAGAAATTAAATGGAGATATGCTTGAACTTCTAAGCTTTCACAGTACTGCTTCTTTAAAAGCCAAATAAAATGCTGCATGCAGAGTAAAAATAGTGAACCTGATATGCCACCACCACAGCTGTATATATTTATGGATCAGCATGTTAATCAATGTCTTGGCTTCAGATAAGATCTGTAGCACAGCTTTAATGAGATGCTGCTCACAGCCCAAGTGATGTTTGTGTTCTGTTTATATTTAACTGAATTGAATTGATTTTCCAAGTTTTATTGATACAGCTACAAATTAGTGTTGGGTTTTTGTATAGCTCTGAGAAAGATGATGGGTTTTTACTGTAAAAACATTTGTTTTGGATTTCATAGTGATGAAGCAGGTTTTCTTATGCTTGCTGGTGTGTTTATGGTTTTAGAATATTGTCTTATTCTAAGGTGCTAAAAATGACTTCAGGATCATCTCCGGTGGTGATTACATTTCATTTAAATCTCTGAAATTTTTAGTCAGTCCAGCCAGAGGTTGGACATTGACATGTGTCAGTGAAAGTAAAAGGCCAGAAGTGGTACTATGCAGCAGCAAGGACTGCTGAAACTTCCTGCTAAAGCATGCAAATGTAAGTTTTTTGATGCATTTTTGGGGGAAAAAAAGAAAAAAATGTCTTTAAAGAGCCAACTGTGCAACTAAATATTCATTATCAGGGAGTCTGCAGGATTTTTCATCTTCCAAATACCAGTCTATGTATGTCTTTTACAGGAGAACCCCTTCAAAGAAAGGATTGTGGAGTCTTTCTCAGAAGATGGAGAGGGGAGCCTGAGCTTCAATGACTTTGTGGATATGTTCTCCGTGCTCAGTGAAATGGCTCCCCGAGAGCTTAAAGCAATCTATGCCTTTAAGATTTATGGTACTATGTGGAGGGGCTCTGGTGTGTTTTTTTGTGTTTGGAGTAAATGAGTGGTACACTTGGTGATCTTTGGTTCTTCTATTTGTTTAGATTTTAACACAGATAACTTCATTTGTAAAGCAGACTTGGAAAAAACCCTCAATAAGCTGACCCGGGAAGAGCTGACAGCAGAGGAAATCACTCTGGTTTGTGAGAAGGTGATAGAAGAAGCTGACATGGATGGTGATGGGAAATTAGGATTTGCAGATTTTGAAAACATGATTTCCAAGGCACCAGACTTTCTCAGGTATTATTTTAAGAAAAAGAAAGTCTCTTGCATACTTGCAAGTATTGTCTTAGGATATCGCTGTGCAGTCTAATACAAGAAGTGTCAGACATAAGTGTTTTACTAGAGAACTGACTAGGGGATGGCTTCTTACCTAACTCAGTTTACTTTTCCAGGGCATATTCCAGTTGTCTCCTAATTTAAGATTACGAGCTCAATGACTTTTAATTATCACCTTTCCTCCTCCTCCACCCGTCTTGGTGCAGTTCAGGAAAATATTTTCATCCATTATGAGCTCAAATTCAGCCTGTAGCAAGGATTAAGCCTATAGCAAGGATCCTGGCTGTCTGCATAGGAATGTGTGTAAATACTGTATACATGTTACAAATATACATAGAAAAACATTGATCTCTTTGCTGTGAAAGCATTTTTTGAAGAACTGTAAAGTGTCCTGCAGAACACAGAACAGTATTTCTTTCATGAATGAAACTTTGGAGGAAAGATGTTAAAAGCGATTCAGCAATACAGCAGGAGCACATGATTCCAGTGAACCTTGAGAAACATCAGCTTCTGGAGAGGAGACATTCAATGTGAATGTCTTTATACATTTCAGGTATTCCTTAACTAATCAAGTGTATCAACAGAAACCCCTTTAGAACAAGATATGTATCATCATTATGGTGAAGCTCAGCTCAGTAGGTATTCTAACATTTTGTTTACAGATATTTCCAGCTAAGAAAACATCTTCTTTATACTGCTATTCATGTAGAAGCTGCTGGGATCAGGTAGGGTTTCCTTTAATCAAACAAAAGGCTGTGCTGCTCCTACAAAGCTGGTAGAGAACAGCGATCAAATGTGAAGAATTGAAGGCAGATCTGAAAATTCAGTAGAAGCTGCAGTTTTGGAAGTTTCCTGTGCCATGACTGACTTTACTGCTGTGTTGTAGAGGCTGGCAAACTGCTGACTGAGAATTCCAAGGTGAGGATGCTGTGCAGTCATTTCCTGAGAAAGTTGCAGAGAGGAATGTTTGCCAGTGTAGCCATTGGAATGACTGTCACAATTATTTTTCTTTTCCATTTAGGTGATGTTTTGGGAAGATGAGGAAATGAGTGAAAATCACTGAGTGCTGGGTATTCAGCAGGGCAAGATGATGAGTAAAAAGTGGGATGAACTGAGATGTGTATTATAGATTAGGTAAGAGAAATTGGAGAGTACCAATAAAGTCAAAGGACGAGGCTACCAAGTATTGAAAGACTGAGCATCCAGTTGCTCAGTTTAAACACATGTACTTGGATCTGTGTCTGTGACAAGATATCTCCTTCAGGTTTAAGATGGCAATGTGCATATTTAAGGTAGATGTTTGGCATCCCTGGCTTCCAGAGGAATCATAACTTGCCCCTCCATTCAGGAGTTTAGCTGGGTCATGGGATTCCTCTCTCAAGTCCTCAGGCGTAAGAGCTCCTGGTGATATACAGAAGGGTCTCCTTCACCTCCTAACCAAAACACTGGTTTAGAGCCTCTGACCAGGCAATTTCTATATAAAAGCAGCTTCTGTGGGGATAACAGTACAAAGAAAACCAGTTCTTAGCTGGAAATATATGTAAAGAAATATTAGAATCCACTGAAGACTCTGATGTTTCTTATGGTTCAGCAACATGTATCTTTGAAGCTATATTGAAAAATGAGAGTGTAATGGAAAAAAGCCTCAGAGCTGAGAATGTGTAGGTTCTCTAGTTTGATTTCTGTTTTGAGTTAACAGCTGCAGGAAAAGAAAGCGACAGGGTCATAAGACTACTTTCATCCAAACTGATTTACATGGAAGATTTGACACCTCTGCCTTACTGTGGGTTACTGTTCATTTTGTCTGTAAAGGTATTTTATTCTTTTAGGACATTGTTAGATCTATTTTTCCTGTATGCACTGCATCACAGACTGACATAATTGTTAATACTGAACATCCTGTTCTGAGGAACTTATTCTAATTTTTTTAATACTGGGTAAATACTGCATTCTAAAGAGAGATTTGACTTTTGGAATGGGATTCATTGAAGTTTAATGCCACAATAGGTTCACCAAAGTCTGACTGGGACTGAACATAAATAAGCACTCTCTGGCAGGAGCCAGTGCCTGCCAGCATGTGACAGACTTTGTGACATGGGACAAGAATGCGATTCCTGTAGCTGATCTCTCACCACCAAAAGCCCAGTTCTTTGTGCCATAACAGTCTTGGACACATTACCTATTCATTTACTGAAACAATGCTTTCTTACATCTTTGTGAGTTAATCTCCAGCTCTGTTCCTAGCCTCTCATTTTCTTCTGAGTTTTCAGCTGTAATGGTTGTCTTAAATTATAGCCTTAGGCTGTGTGCAGCCAAAGGGCAGGCAGGGCTGTGCAGCTTCACTGGGTAGTCTACTACAGAACTTGCAAAGCACAGGAGTGTCTGAATAGCAGATCACCAACCCTATATGCCAGTGGAAAACTGAACTAGCTTCTTACTATTGCAAAAATACATAAAAACATGCTTTCACCTAAAACAAATTGGCCACTTGAAATCTTAAGCAGACATGTGGAAGAAATACCAACCCATCAATGTCCAGAGGCAGCCACAATTTCATTTGGTTTTGCTTATCTCCACTTTTTGTGACCAGTTGAATGCATTCCAGAATTTTAATTCAAGGAAGCCCAAGAGTCTGATGATTTACACTTCCAGCTGCTCAGCAACTGTGCAAATAGAACACCTAGGAACCAAAGCAATAGCCACATAGAAAATGATTGCCAGTGAGCCATTGCAGGTGCTGGGTAACTGCACTTTGCAGGGATTTTGCAGTGAAGTTATGGGCCGTCAATATTTTTGAACATCTGATCCCAGAATATGATCCTGGCATGTGGTATGAGAGCCTTCTGAAAATGCTGAATAACTTGCAAGGCCCCAGATGATTTTTATCTGTAGTAAAGGATTTTTTTCTGTTCTTTTTCTTTTGTCCCCACCAAAGCCACCTCTTCATATCATAAAAGGAGGAAAAAGATTCCAGTTAGGTTTTATCCCTGGCTCTTCCATTGCTTGAGCAGGTGATCTGTATGAAGCCATAGAACACTTTTTTCTCTCTGCTCTCTTATGTGGGACCAGTGCTCAACCCACTTGTGACAAACGTTGAGAACTTTCTTTCACCTGCAAAAGATCATCATCAGCAGCATGAGATTTGATGTTACTGAGGAGGAATATCTTCTTTACTCTGTGGAAAACCTTTGAAGGCTAGATTCTAATAGCAATATGCACTCAGGTTTTGAAGCATGTGTTGGGATTTTTTTAAGCTGTCACATTATCACACCTACTTAACATACACAGGAGGCATTGACTTTGACACCATGTTCCAGGCTTTGACCTGCTATGAGCTGAAGTTCATCCACTCTAGGTTGACTTATTTTCCTTATCCCATCACTCCTTTCTCAAACCTTTACTTAATGACCCTGTGTAGGTTTAATCTCCTACAGACAGCTTTTGCCAGCTTTGTGCTGCTGTCAGGCAAATGAAGATGCAGTAAAGTCTGTTGCTTGATTTGCACTGCTGTCGTTGAGGAATTTTTTCCAGACTAGAAGAAAACACTGTTAATCATTAACCAGGGAACATCTATGCAGTTGGCTGTTATCCCAGAAGCTGAACTAAGCTGTAAATGATAATGACAGTTACTAGTTCAGAAAATTGGATCCCAATAGTTTTATTTCACTCAAAATTGTTATCATTAAGAAGCTGCTTGTAGTTTAATGGAAGCATTGGCAGATTGAGCTGGCACTAGCTAAGTGTTCTGTTCTACAAGACTGGTTACGTTTTCTACAGGAAATTGTTTTATAAATCATCCTGGAAGTTTCAGCTTATTTGAATGCCTGAGGGTGAAGCCTATTGCTGTAGCAATGGGTAATGGCGTTTGAGAGGAATACGGCATTAGTAATACCTGGAAGCTGCCAGAACCAGACAGGGAAATAACACATTAAATGTTGGAAATGCAGTATTTCTGAAACTGTTGCGGGCCTTTGCCCAGCCATTAGTGGATTTTGTGACCCCAGTCCTACCAAATGCTGAAGCAAAGGAAGCTCCCTTATAGGCAATGTGTATCTCATAAGACTGTTGCAACATGCAGATTAATTAGTTCTTACGGACTAATATTAGAGCTAGTGACTAATTGGCAAGAAAGGCTTAGCAAAGAAACAGTGGAAGGAGATAATTTCTGTCAGTATTTTTTCAGAGTATTTTAGGTGCTTCTTAGTAAAAAGCTGACACTCTGATAAAAATAGAAATTTTTCTAATAAATTGATTTCCAGTTACGTGGATTTGGGTGGATTTTTTGGGGGAATCATGCCTCAAATGTTTTCACATACAATGTGATGGATTTTTAGCTCCTAGATATTACCTGCATGTGAGTTAAATTTTTAACAGCTTGGATTTAGATAGTCTCTAGACATTTCCGGAACTGTGAACAAGATATTTATAAATCTTTTATTTAAAAAATCCTAGTGCCAGTAAACTATTTGCATCACTATCTGCTTTGTCTCACAGCGCTCAGGCTGGTGTGCCAGGCTGCTATATAGCGTATCTTTTACTGTCACCCAGATTGAATAAAGTCTTAGAGACAAGGTTCCTAGGGACCATGGTGAATATGAAATTTTATCTCCTCCAAATACATGCCACAAGCTTCCTTTAGTGAATTTCTGATTCAAATCTAATAGCTGTAATTAAGTTAGAGTATTCTTTTGGTAAAACAAAATCCAAAGAGTGTGCATCCAGAAAGTCTGCAGCCTCTCAAATGTTCCAAAAAGGTTTTCTTTCAGTGTAGGCAACAAACTTACAGAATTTACATACAAAAATACATAATAATTTCTTCTTATTTCAGTTAGTCAAGAAAAACAGTTGATACTGTCATGACATTGAACAGATTGCTGCCGATAGACAGTGGGGTTTCAACATACCCTCTTCACATTGTCTCTCCCTGTCCTGCTGAGATGCTTGGGAGCTCTTCTGAAGCCTGGTGGCAGTTGTAAGCCATGCTGCTTGCCTGTATTAAAGAGCAAACAGAGGGTAACAACCAGAATCTCTTTGGCCCAAAGAAAAACAACTTTACCTGTCTAATTTGTCTTGGTTAGGACCCAAATACTGTGCCATAGCAAAAAGTACCATTGGGAAACACTTAGCTCTGCTCTAATGCCTTAGGTTTTAGCTTTTATATTTTTCAGATTCTGTACTACTTTAGTGTATAGTTCTGAGCTTCATATTATGGGATGCTAAGTGCTCTTCACAGAGTAGGGAGACAAAACAATTCCTTCTCTAGGCTGGGGCCAAGGACAATCAATCCAAATTTCAGGCCCAATGTGGACTGAAGAGAGAAAAAACGAGAAGGATGGGCCTTCATAACTTAAAGCTATACCTGGACAATTAACTCCAATATGCAAATGGAGCAGAACTCATAAAAGCGAGAGACCTCATGGCCAATTGTCCATTTTGGTTATCTTGGCTGTAGCCCTGGCCGGGCTTTTGTATGGCCCGAGGTAGATCTATCTGTTGAGGTCTTTTAATAAATCCCTACTTTATTCTTTAGCTCTGTCTAGCCTCTGGCCTAGGTCTGCTGCGGTGCCGGATTTCTTCGGCCTGACCAGCTCCCGGCACTGTTGGTGAGAGTGGCCTCCCCCAGAAAGCTGTCAAATCCGGAGCGTGGCTGTAGGGCACGGCTGCTCTACGGCACGAGTGGACCACACTGGGGAGAGGACTGCGCTGAGGGTAGGGACAAGGAACAGGGAGAGGCCTTCCGTGTGTTTTCCAAAGGTGTTTATTGCTAGGAGGGTCAGGGACAGAAAGACCCTGAACAGAGGCGTACATCAGCTTATAAATGGGGGAGGTCCCAGGGATGGGTACAATCTTTAACCACTTGGTAGAAACTGGGGGTGGAGCACAAGGTGGGGAATACAATGTTTAAACCAATATGGGATTACAGGGGAGGAGAACAATTTAAACAAACCAATGGGGCCTTGAGGGGTACAAAATGGATAGGGAAGTTTCTAGAGAAAGGGGCAGGCTTGGGGAGGGATTGACATTCAATGGGAGGAGGAGCAGGGAACAAAAGGGCAGGTCTTTGGGGAGATGGACAACTTGGGCAAAACCAACAACACAGGAGGGAAAGGAATAATCCATTGGTAATAAAATATGTTATAACAATAAAAATGGGGAGGGTTATAAAACTGACTACTAGGACCGAGTTACAATCAAAAACACACACTGCAACATAGGTCAGCCTTCACAAGGCATCAGCTCTACAGCCAATAAATGGGCAATTTAGACTTGATTTAGTCCACTATTGAGCTTGGCCCCTGAGCTAACATTTTCAGAAGATGGAATTTTCTCCCATGAGATTTAAATCTTGAAGCACAAAAGAAGAAAGATTTTTTTTTTCTTTTTTTTTTTTTTTTTTTTTTTTCACACAGCACCTTCCTTTTTGTGCTTAAAAGAAAAATTTTTGCATAGTGACAGATGTGTTTCTATGTCTTAATCTTTTTCTTTCTTTTGTAGTACTTTCCACATAAGAATCTGAAGATGTTTCTGCCAGTCCAGCCTTTCTGAATCTCAGGCACTCCAGGGATTTTTGTCCTCTAATGAGGGCTTCCTAGAACTCAGCAGAAAGTACTGAAAGAATTCTGGTCCACAAAGAGACAGAAGCATCATGTGATCTACAGGATATTTGGAACAGACACATTTTTATCTTCTCTCCTGGCCAAGCACTCTGGCAAAGATGGTTGGTTGTTGGATTGTGGTATTTCCCTGCACCCCCCCCCCTTTTTTTAACAGTCAGAATCAGAATATTATTAAAGGTATTTCCACAGAGTTTTTATATTTATGAATATTTAATACTGCTCTTTAAAGCGAAAAAAACCCACCCCAAAACCAAAAAACTGAGAGATTAGCTTTCGTTTGTTTTCCAAGAGTATTTGAAAGAAAGGATGGGCCTTAAATAATGAGATGCCTCTATCACTGTGTTGGACAGCTGGGATCTTGCATGGAAAATATGTGAGGTGAAAGCACTGCTGTCAAGATCAAGCTCCCAGTGTTGAAGACAGCCACAGCCCACGTTTGCCTTTCAGCCACTAAAATGGCAACTGCTGGGTTTGGTGCTTACCTTCAACCAATATTTTATGGATTGTTGTGTCCTTATAAAACTTGAAATATTTGCTTTTTGTATATGATAACTGTGTACGTGATTCATTTCTTCCCAAGATAAATGTTGAAACTCAGTCCTTACTCTCAAAGGGGCTCCTGCATTTTACTCATTCTATGGGCTGATAATGTTCTTGAATGGAGGAACATGGTCATCTGTAACTCATGAAGAAGTTGAAGAAGCACAGAACTACTATTAAGGACATGAAAAGATATTTTCTTTTGAAACAAGCTATGCAATCTCTCCTATAAAATGCATGAATGCAGTTCTATCTTTTTCTTTCCTCTCCAGCTGGAAATCAGCTAGATCTTTTTGTTGGGTTTTTTTTTTTTTTGGTTTGTTGTTTCGATTTGTTTTTTTTTATTTATTTTATTTTTACTTCCAGTATTGTTTAGGTACTGGGACCTGAAGACAATCATATGTGTATTAATTACTGTTCTAACAGTCAATAGAAGGGCTCTGTCACTTACATGGCTTCTGTATCAAGGTCATCACAATTAAAACTTTTAAAGCATTCTGTTGTGCTTTGAGAATTTTTAGGCTGACCACATACTAATTTCCTTTCTGATCATTATTCCAATTACTATAAAGTCAAATCTTTCAAAGGATCAAATGTGTTATATAGAAAACTGTTAAAACAGAGAACCTAACCTGTTTATCATTTCTGTAGGGATGGTGATAGCTATCTACATCGGAAACTCTTCTGTGTGGTGACCTTGCAGGGTAGCTTACTGTTCAGATTTACACACTATGAATAAAGAAGAAATATTTCTCTAGCAGTATGTGTGTACATTAAAAGTTTCAATGGAAATTTTGGATATTCAAAGTATATGGGACAGACATGTTTAAGATTGCTCAGTGAAAATGACAGGAATAGCATTTATTTGTAATACATATCTTAGAGCTATTATGTTAATTGATGTTTATAGCATTTTAATGCTTCCACCTACTGATTTCTGTTTAGATCAAGAAATTAAAACCTGAATTCCCTTACCCAAGTTAAAATTAACAGAAATCAATCCTCATGTTCAGTTCTGACTGAGTAAAAAGAGATTCAAGCCTGTTTTTCATTTTGAGCAGATTAAGTTAGATGTATCGGCTGATTCAAAATATTTGCAAGACATTGGTATGAAGAGAGATTATTACTTAAATTACTTCCTATTAATTGAAGTATCAGTCTAATTTAAAAAAAAAACTTATTTCAAGACAGACATTTAATCTTGGAAACCTTGTGAGGTGTGTAGGAAGATATGATTCGGATGTGTTTGTAAAATACCAGGTTACAAGATTTGGGATGAGATTATCCAGACAAAAAGGATCTGGTGCTGATGACATAGGTCAATTCCTTTTGGTATCTACATTCTTCTGTGTGTTATGATTGTCATTAGCTAAAATTCCTGTATTCCTGACACTGTGTCATTCTTGGGTTATATCACACTCCCCTCCTAAAGGACGAGCAGCCTTGGAAGTGCTCAGTGTGTTGTTTCCCTGGGCCCTCCCTGACCTAAATGTCACAAAGCCCTTAGGAGACACATGAGCTTGCAGCCAGATGTTTGACCTTGGAGTCATCTACCTGAGCTGAAAAACAAAGAGAAAAAGAAATTAGGAGTACCTTGTGGAGAAATATTCCTGTTCATAGAGACGTGTTCTTGCCAAATACTGTAGATACAAATGTGTGCAGCTGTCCTAACTGCCTTCATTTTTTTGACTTACATTCATGTCCTGTAGCAAAAACCATTGTGTGTCCCTGGTGTTTGAGAGAGATCTGTGCACTCAATCCTTCAGCACTGCCTAGTGGTGGGTGAGTATTCCCAGCACCTGATGGCAGAGGTGAGGGATAGATTTCTGAAGTGCTTTGTATTTGTGCTTTCACAGTTGTCTGTAGCTGGATGTCTTGTGACTGGCAGTGTTCTTACCGCAAGATGGTTGAGTGTGTGGTTCAGTGGGATCCAAATTTAATCCTGTCATGAGGTACCAAACCTGCTGGATTTTGGCAATTGTATTACTGGCACAATCTAGCAGATTCTCTAGCAAGCATTTCTTCAACCAGCCTTACTCTAAAAGAACCATCAGGCCATGTGGAAAGAAACTGGAACAGTAAAAGAGGTTTAGATTAAAACAGTTTTGGATTTTGCCCAAAAGTAAGAGGACATACATTTTGAATTGCAGAAAAGTGTTAAATATAAACAGATGTTACTATATTTTTTTCATAAATGGACAAAGAAAAATGAAAACCGTTACCTAAAGCCTCTATCAAAACAGCTCTGTGTGTGGTCTCTCATTTATATACAGTTAAAGCATCTTGGGGACAAAAAAAGAGTTGTGAAAGTAAATAAAACTATCAAAAAGTAAGAAATAACTTGGTTATTTTAATTGATCATTGTTTTAAGGAAATACTGTAAACCAAGACTTGCAACAGCCTGCAGGCCAAAATCTGATTTGCATTACTTCCACATTAATCTCCAGTAACTGCTGACTTCAGTGGAATTAACTAATGTCTGTAATTGGATCTGTGTTGGGGAAAGTTCTTGAGGTTTTGCTGCAGTTCTTTGTGTCCTCTCATGCCCTTTTAATGTAATCTTAATATGCTGAATGCTCTTTTCTTAACCAATAACCACACGCTCTTCTTTTTCAACAGGCTCACTGTTGGAATCTCTTGCAATTTCTTGCAGTCACAGAGTAACAGTCTCCTTTCCTTTTCTCCCTAGGACTAATTTTTATCTCCTTATGCATGTTAGAGGCACTTATGATAAAACCTCACAAGGTGGCACCACACCACCATAGCAAGTCATAAATTCATGACTTCATTTAACACTTTAAATGTCCCTGAAATACAGGATACTCTGTAGAATCTATGATGCCATAAACAAAAATATGAAACTGTGATTAATTACTGATTTTAAAACTGTACATAATTACAGAGAAAGTTTTGTGTTTCTCAACAGCAGATCAATAAAAACATGTTTTAATAAAGTCCCTGGAAATTGAAACGTACATTAAAAATTAAAAAGGGATTTTCTTGCTGAAACTGTAAAAAACTCATATTCTAAACACCTGAATAGGTTAAGATTATATTGTAAAATAACAGAATATAAAGTAGAGTTTTTGTTGTGGATGAGAAACCTTATATTTGTGAGCTCAGAATCCCCAGTAAATCAATTTGGGGTGAAATAACAGCAAGATTAAGAAGAGTTTATAATGTTATTTCCCAATACACCTTGTCTGGGACAGACAATGGAGTGAAATTTGATGAGGGAGACATTAAAGAGAATAAAAATGTCATTGTTCATGTCCTTAGGAAGATGTGTGTCTGAGGCAGAAGTACAGAACACATGAACAGATGTTCTCCTCTTTTGTCTGTATAATTTTGCAGTTTTGGGTGTCTTGTAGAGATGTTAGTGGCACTGAGTGACTATCACATTCTCTTTGGTGGGGAAAAAGAGGAGTCTGTTCTTGGTAGAATTCAAAGAGCATCAGCATTTCAGATAACAGTGCCTTTATTTAACTCTAAGTTCTTCCATCCTTGTCTGTAAGACATTTTCCAGCCTGAACTCCAAGTGAAATTCCCCACTGCCCTTTCCCTTTGCCTCACGTTGGCAAGAGCAGTGAGGAGCCCAAGTGTGCCAGCCCTGGGTGCTCTGCAGTTGCGATGCAGATGAGTGCTTCCCTCTGCCCTTTCCCGGTCAGGAGCTGCTCAGATCCAGATGTTTTGAGGCACCAAGCCCCGAGTGCGTTGTGCTGCTCTGCAGGTACAGGCTCTCTGGCTGCTGGGTGCGTGCTGTGAGCCCTGCGGCACAAGGCACCATCTGTGCCCTGCTCTCAGCTCCTGCACAGGCAGCTTGCGGCCGGATGCGCCTGCAAATGCAGGGCAGAGTGGTTTAACTCTGCTGAAGAGGGTTGTGGGCACCAGGCCAGCCTCCCCCTCTTTTCTAACTGTAACTTTTCTCCGCTGAAATCAGTGGATGTGGCAGCCTGCCAGGAGCAAGGCAACTCGTTGCTGTGGACTTAATCACAGCTTGGGCAATTCAATAGGGATCAAGCTTGCCCTGTGCTCTGCACGCTGACAAGCTCTGGGAATTGATAGCTGCTGGTTGAAGGGGTGATAATTGAAGAATTTGGTCTGGTCCCTCATGTAGAGCTCTGAGCAAGCAGGTACAAGGTAGCTCTGTTTACTTGATGGAAATGGTTTACGGTTTGGTCTGGGAAAGTATTCATCTGTCCAGAAGTCAGATCCAGTTTTTTCATAGGCCTCTCATTCCCTTGATTATGGGTGTTATGGTTATGGGCTGTTTCTCACATCATCCTGGAGGCAGCACTTCACAGACAGTGAATTCATGTGGATCATTAGTAACCTTTTATTAGCAATCTAATATTCAGGGTTACTTCAATGGCACTTAGAAATAAATTGATATTCGCCAGATTTCACCCCCATCTCAGCTGAAAGGAAATGATCTCTTAGACATCTGCTTATATAATCAGAGAATCACAGAAGATGCTAAGTTGACCTGTCAGGATCATTGAGTTCAGCTCCTGGCCCTGCACAGGACACCCCAAGAGTCACTCCAGGTGCCTGAGAGTGTGGTCCAAACTCTTCTTCAACTTTGTTTGCTTTGGTGCTGTGACCACTGTCATTGTGGACAGTAGGCCCTGAGAGGAAAAAGAATATTGGTATTTTAACCAAAATGGTATTTTGGGTTTTCTGAAAATGATGATGCTTTTTTTTTCTTTATATAGATAAAAAGTTCTGCATACAAAAAGCTGTAGATTCAGAGAGAATTCCCTCTAGAAGAAGTTTGAAACTGACTGTTACTGTTCTGCCTAAACAAATAGGTTAATTGATGTATATGTTCACAGAAATAAATGCAATTCCAGGAAATTCAGTGAGGACTTTCATATGTTTAAAAATTTTCATCTCTTGTATGGCCATTTTAATGAGTATTGTTCTTCAAATGTTCGAACCAAATATGATAAGGAAGTATATAAAAATTCCCTATTGTAATTTCAAGCATCCTCATAATGACAGTAGCATTAGAATTTGCATTCACAAATCCCTCTTACTACACATCTTTAAAATTTGGCTTTCTGCAGAATTTGCTTGCAAATATTCCTGGTGAAATGACTTAGTCCCAAGTGACTAATTCTCAGTATTTCTTTCATTTCCAGTTATCTCCTCTCACTGAAAAAGCAGAGGGAGTAATTGATATCCAGAGACGTTAATGTGTTTTGACGTATTTTCATTCCAAGAAACTCACCAAGTTAAACAGTGGGTTATTAATGCCATGGTCTCTGCTGGATTGGCTTAGAGGGGATTTTTTTTTCTCACTGTGATAATTCTGTAGTAGGCAGATATCCTTGGGGGCCAGATCTCCACAGGACTCCTACTCACTTCAGTAGGCAGCCTTCAGATCAGGTCCTTAAATAACATTTTGCTTTATTCAAACATGGAATGCATAAACAAAAAATGAAAACCTGCAGATAATAAATTATTTTGCTTCTGAAGAAGTACTAATACGCAGGCAGAGATGGAATTTACTGCAAGTATTTTTACTGTCTCATTCTCTATGAGACAGTACATAAAATGGAAGAAAACATTAAAACTTTGTATGACAGACAAGTGAAGAAGAATTGTAATTATCTTTAGTATGTCCCTTTGATTTTGAAGAGTTTATTAAAACATGTATAGCTAATCTGAGAGTACTGAAAAATGCAAAAAAACCTTGCTTAGCCATTTCTTCTGTATCTGACACATTTTGTTTGAAAGTCTAGGCTTTACTACACTAAACAAAGAACATTGGAGTTCTCATAAAGAACACAGGCATTAGAGTTCTCACTCTATTTTTATTTCCTTTAAAACTGTACAGAACTCAGCTAACATTCCCTCTCATTTGCTTGCTTGAAATTAGGACATTGTGTACACAAAGAGGCTGCAGACTTCCTACTAATGCCACTGCCCTTGGCATTAGGAGTAAGCATTTGACAGAACAAGTTCTAGTAAAGCCAGAGAAAATACTTTAAACAGTATCTTCATATTTCTTCCCAAACTCTTCTGGGAAGAAACCTGAGATTTGTTATATCCTTTTGAAAATATCAGTGTGTCCTTTGAAGATCCACTCTTATTCGTATCTTCAGCAGAGATGGGGTAGAATACCCACTGTTTCTGCAGTTCCTCTGTTGTAGTGTGGAGAATAACAAAGCAGGGAAAATTGAGCCTGTTATCTGAGAAGAGCCTAGCAAAAACCTTGACTTAGTAAAATGAAGCTGAGTGGATTATGAATTCTGATGAAACACGGGAAGCTTGATTCAGTGACCTGAATTTGGAACCCTACAAAACCTTCTACCTTTCCTTATCCTATTTATCTAAAATATAAAGCAGGTGGAATTATTTCATTGATGTCTGATCCAATAATCTACAAATGTGATTCTTTGTGGCCTTTAATTATTTTTATATTTCACTAAAAAGGGGGAAAATGAAGGGTATGCCAAAGAAAAGAGAGTCAAGGGCATTTCCCTGGACATCTAATGATTTATTCTGCCCCCAAGCATGATCTTCAACCACCTCCACAACTGCTGAGGTAGCCAGTTTCTAAACTTTTTTATCTTAGAAGGCCATTATAGGGGCAGGAGGAAAAGAAAATCCTGGCAATAATTTTAAATCAAGATTCATGGGTTATTTCATTTTTGTGAATGGGATTTCCTTTCTATTTAAGACCATCCTTCTTTTACATTTTTCTCCTTTTATGACACTGGTATAGTGTTGCTGGCTGCCTGCATTATCTTTCTTTTTCTTCTTTGAACTCATGAAACAATTTATATCCTTTCTTTAATGATTTTTGTTAGCGCACAGTAGAAGTTTTGGGGGTTGTTGTCAGCTGTGATTTATAATTGTCTGTGAGACATAGGGATTTGTGATTTGTTTGGTTTGCATATTTTATCTATGAGCATAAAGAACTGCTAGAAAGAACTTGTTTAAACAAAAAAAAAATATTATTCAAATGCTAGTACCACTGAGAATGGAATTTTGGCCTGATGCTTCTTTGAATGCACATGGTCAGTGAAAGCCAATGAAGAGAATGGAAATAGCTACATGTACTTCTGGAATAGTCACACTGCTTTGGGATCTGGAGGATAAAAATTCCTCTTCGTTGCATTTCTGTCTTTAATCCAGTTGAAATGCACAAGTGCAGAGTACTAGTAGATTTTTTAAATAGAGCTTTCCCAAAGTTCACAAGAAGTTACAAGATATTTTTGTCAAAATTTTAGATAGATTGTGGAAGATGAGCCCAAACTGCTGTGTCACCTACTTTTTTTTTATGGGTGCATGGTTGCAGATGTTTTTATTCTGAAGGGTTGTATTTTGTCCATCCCTGAACTAGGAACAAGATGTATGGTTTGTATCCAAAGTCTGCCAAAACGCACAGGAGAATGTCTAGACACTATGAGAAAGAGTCTTTTCTGAGTTAAAAAGTTATTCCACTTTAAGTACGATTATTTTTGTCTGCTTTAAGATTAGTTTAATTAAAGTGTAATTGAGGTTGTTCTAAAAAAATTGTCATTTTGGGGTGTTATTTCTGCTCTTCTTTTATGAAAGCTTGTTTATTCAGCTGTAACTGCAAGTGTCTAGCAGTACCTTGAGGATGTCTGAACAGAGAAATAACAACTATCAAACCATACCTTGGTGTAAAATACTACCAGAAAGCCTTGGTGCTGAGGGTATCCTCAGTCCCAGCAGCACAACCTGTACAGTACAGGTACAAATTTTGTACCTGTGCGTTGTCCTCTTATTGCAAAGGTTTCATGCCTTCTTGGTGATGTCTCATGAGCAGTGCCTCACAGCACTGACTCCTTCTTCTTCTCAGCACAGCCAACAAAGCCCATCCAACCTTCTGGACCAGCCAAGCTGCTCTTTTACAATACCCCTCCTAACTGGATCTAGCTGTGGCCTATTGAAGGCAGGCCTGTTCCTCATTCTTGATAATTAGCACAGCTGTAACTCCTTAGGGGTGAGATTACCACTATCTCTATTCTCCTACATTCTGTCTATCCACACCTGTACAATTAGGTACAATTGCCCTGCCAAAACATTGTACCAGAACTACCAGGCCAGAGCTGGTTCTGCCTCTGTGTCAGGCTGTATTGTTCAGTGGATCCCCTAGTTTTATTCTTAACAGATGCTTCTTGTCTCTTGATCTACTTGGTATTAGAGCTCTCCACAAGAACTGACCATATCCTACCCTTTTTCCTTAGGTAAATTTATCACTCCTTTAGGAATTGTGTCTCATTTGGGACTGAAGAGTCTGGGTTGACACTCAGTGCACTGACAGTAAATAAGCCATCTTGGCTGTCCTCATTACTCCTTACTTTCAGTTCTTCCAACAGCCTTCTCCCAACTCCCCTCTGTCAGCCTTTCTGCTTCCTTGGCAGAATACAATATTTGAGATACTCCTTTTCTCACCAAAGGTCCTGCTTCTGTGTGTACATGTTGCACACAGGTTAATAACTGGGTTATGTCAGTACACAGCAGTCTTGTGACTGGGGAGCTGTTCTGGTAAATGCTCGAGGTTAACTTGGTGAAGGCCTCAGAAGATTCCAAACAAAAGTGATTGTTGTTAACTGCTTTGAGTATGGTATCCATTCCCTCACCTTTGTGAAGCCTTCCTCAGAACCCCAAAAGGCAGCAGAATGCAGCGCTGGTGGTACAAACTGACACTCCTGAGACTGAGCACATATGGACAGTGTTTTCTGACAAGTACAAGTGCAAATTTGGCATATATGGTTCTGGTAACATTGGATACAGGAGACAATTCTCTAGATATGAGGGCATAATTTTCTCCTCACCTTTTCTTAGATAACACTACTATTCAGTACCTGCCTCAGCGGGGCATGGCTTGGATGAGTTTGGCTCCAGATTTAAATGTTGTGACTTACTCTTGAATCTGTATTTCCTCAGTTGTCTGTGTGCTTCCTGTCTTTCTACAAAGCCAAAACCAGGAGTTCCAAAACAGAAAACCACAGGAAAAGCTGCTCTGGTAATGTTTGTCTTGAGCGGAAACAAATAGCAATAGAGATTTCCTGGAAAATAATTTTCATGTGACAAGTGTAGCCTGGATTCTAGACCAAATAGTCTGGCTAAATCTCTCTATTTTTAGTTTGGATTATATCTGTTATAGCTTTTTCTTTTTTAAAAAATATGTAAGTGTCTTTCAGTTAACCATCTGCAGGGTTTTTAAATCCCACTCATCTTTGACAAATGTAATTACACTTTACTAGAATATTTGGTTCATTTCTTCAAAGTGATGAATAGACTTGTTATAAGAAGTGTATATAAGTGTTATATAAGAATTCAAGAATTTGGAAGAAAGCTTATTTGCAAAGAGCTGGTGTGACTCTTTGATATAGGTGTTTTAGCTAACACCTCTAAGTATGTTAAGCAGTTCATGGTCTACACCAAAAGAAAAGTTCCTGTCCAAAGAATTTAGGCTGGAATTCATTCTGTTGAAGTTCAAACACTGCTATGATTTGCTCTCCATCATTATTTGCTGCTTTCCCATTGACACTAGATGGAAACTGGAGGGAATGGATTTCTCACTCACAACATACCTTCCATCTGTGGATTATACTGAACTTGCCACTGCAGCGTTAAGCCTCAGTTAAATATCTAAAGACTGGGGAGAGGAATCAGCTTTCAGTGAGATGGACATTCAAACTGAAGATAAAATGGTAAGATGTTTGGTTAAGAACTGCAGCAGTGGGTGCTGGTGGCACTGGGGGTTGTGTGTAAACTGTAGCTGTAAGTACAGAACCATTCACTGAGGCACACACATTGTCTGGGCTTGTTCCTACCTGCAATTCCTGGGAAAAACAACTGGAACAAGACAATGAAATTTTCTCAATATTCCCATGACTGCAATTATCTGACTGCATCAGCACTAAGCTTCAGCTATGAGCTGTTCTGTCTTTGAAGAGATTTCTACTGCAGTGTAAATGGAGGGAGGGAAGTGGTCCATGACCACTGTACATGGAAAGAAGGAAGTTTAGGAGCTACTGAAGAAATGCAGTTTCATGGTTGCAGTTAATACAATGGAAAGGTGTGAGCCAGGCTACAGTGTCCCAGGAAATGAGTTAGAAAGTCAGGAAAAAGGCCACAGTGAGAAAACTGGCTGGGTGAGAAAACTGGCTGGGCCTCTGAAATGTTGTGCTGAAAGTAAACACAGCTTAAGACGCTAATGGGTTGTGTAACTGCTATTTAGTATCACCTGGTAAATTTCGGGGATCACAGAATTTTTGTTTTTACTGGGCACTTCTGTTAAGTCCCCATTGTATGTATATATTTGGTTCTTCAAAGAAATGAAGTATGACATGGAAGTAGATCCACTTCTGTAATAATATAAAGAAAACATCTATATAAATGGAAGTAAGTTACACTGTATGCAGCTGAAATAATTGTGTTTTATTAATTGTGTCATTAGCTTTGGTTATATCTCTTACCCATTAATAATTTAATCTCTACAACAGTACTCAAAATTCTGCTTTTCCTCTTCAGCATACCTGCCAAGCCCTGTAGCAGTTCTCCAGCCAGTGGGGATCCACATGGATGCTGGCAGGCCAAGGATTGTGTACATGTGGATTGCTCAGCTTCTTGCCACAGTTAAGTAATTCCTGCTTTTCTATCCATAAGGGGTCTAGTTCGACTCTTTCTCTTCTACACAGCTACCAACTTGCCTGGATATCTTCACAAGTCAGATTACAGATTTCCAGCTAGAAATCAATGCTGCCATTCACTGAATTGTATATTGTTGCTTTTCCATAGTGAAGAGTTCTTGCTAAAATGCGGTGCAATAACAGCAAAAAAAAGTAAACTCAGGTATTAATGTTGTCATATAGTCAACTGGTGTTAGATGAGACAGTTAACTGAAGTTAAATAAGATCTTTACTCCTGAATCAGGAACTGCAGCTAAGCTTCCCTGCTTATCCACAGCTCATATCTTTTTTCCATTTTAAGAGGGGAACACAAATGGTGAATGTGCAAGAGGAATGGAGCACCATCTAGTGCTTAAAGAATAATGCTGGAAAACGAGACATTGCTAGCAGTTAAAACAGCCCATGTAATTGTTTGGCTGACTTGCTTGCATAGAAGGAAATAGTATATTCTGGAAATGTAATACTGTGATGTTCTTCATGGACCTTGTGGTGATTGAGAGGCAGGGGGATGTAAAATGCCATGTCAGACTGCATCAGAAACAGGCATTTGAAAAAATACTTTGCCTGTTTGTTGGCTAAAGAAAAAGCTTAGGAAAGTTTTTCTCATTCTCCACCTCCAAATAATTTAAATAATAGTAAGCCAAAACCATTCAGCATTTGAAATAATGTGTGATGGAATATGCAAGTACTGTACATAGACTATAGCAGGGGGACAGTACTTTGGCAGTGACAGTCATAGATAACATTTGCAGCAAAATGTTTTTTAAAATGGAGTAAAAGTTTTATGCTGAGATGTGGAACAGTTTAGCCCACATCTCAGCATGCTGGTTAGGCCTGACACTGTGTGGGAGAGGAGTGCAGAGGGGCAGTTGTCTGTAGTTCCATAACTCTGGAAAGAAAAGACCAATGGATGTTCTGTGCGAGCTCTGAAAAACTCTGGGGTTCATCTCTAATGGAATCCCTATTTGTCAGAAGATATCAGCCAAGAGACAGTAATTTTTGCTTTCTGTGACGCCCAAAACACAGGCTGGAAATAAATCCCCACAGACCGATGTCTACAGAGCAGGTATTTGTTTATTGCAGAGATGGTGGCGAGGGGGATAGCTCCACCTAACTCACCCACCCTTGCCAAATGCTGTGGTATATTTATACAGTAAGTATTTCCTAGTGTTACTGTGTCACTAAAATATCATCACATACACCTGGGAACTGATTTATATAATATGATCTCATGGTTATTAGATTTTGCACTGTGCTTGCTCCTCCCCAATTTGAGGGTTGTCGGGGGTCTTTGATGAATGCTTCCAAGGTCTTCTTCCCATCTGAACTTCTCAACTTTGTCTTCAGAGCACGTGCAGTTACGGTGTTCCTTGGTCTGTCTGGTCTTAACTGGCCTAAATTCTTTGGTTTGTGGCTAATTGGCTTTCTTTCTCATTAGTACTATACTTATCTATCTCAAAAGCTATCCACCTGGTGAGTTTTTTCTTCTCTTTTTGTTTATTCTGCATTAAGCAACTAGTTAACTTTATACAGCCACTATACAGCCACTATACAACTGTACAGAAAGTTATTTATATCAGGCTATATAGGTGTACAATTTATGATTGAGGTTACACAGGTATAAAAAGCTATGATTCAGGTTATATAGATATAAAAAAAGTCATGATTAGGTTATATTTATATCAGGTTATATAAATATATCAGGCTATATTGATATCTTATAACTCAAGCTATATAGGCATCTTGTAACTTTGATCTGTTATATAGGCGTCATCTGTTTTGTGGAAAGAAGCAGTGTATGCTCTCAGCCACTCTGATTTTGGAGCTATGATCTCACTTTAATCAGAAGAACAGTACAGATATGCTGCTTTATTTATCCACATTTCCTGCACATGTAAACATGACACCAAGAGCCTGGCACAGACACAATCTGTATTCCCTCTGCCTCCATATTGATGACAGACTTCCTTTTTCTTGCATATTTACCTTTTTTTCAAGAATAAATATGGACTTATTCAGGAACCATGAATGCTCATATTCATTATAAGATAAAGTCACTACAATTATTACAAGTTAGACCAGTCTCAGTTTTTGAGAGTAAATACATTTTTATTTTTTATGTGGAGTTGTTGGCCTTGTAAGCCAAAAGTGCTATGACTAAAATACTAGTTAACCTTTAGGAGAGAAAACCGCAGCAGAATAAAAGAGAATTTCCAGTATTTTCATGTTTGACAAGCTTTGTAGTCCATTTAGGAGTATAGTGACTGTCTCACTGTGTGTTAACATTGGCTTGCCTGCTGCATTATGCTTAGGAGTTATGTGCACACCAAAACCTTCATTGGCCCTGGCCTCTGGGCAGGAGGGAAATCTTGCCTTGTGATATGCTATTTTTAGTTGTTTTCTAGACATTTGTTAGCAACGGAATGCCATCTATGCAAGCTGGACATGAAAACATGAAAGGAAAAAGCAGGTAAAAGTATTGTTTTCATTTAATTCACCACAACAACTTAGAGATAAGTTGCTGTTATTTGCCAATCCACATCTGGATCTGTTTGTGAAAAAGTGCATACATGAAATAAGGAACTTATTTCCCAACAAGGGGAACTGTATGCTTAGATGAATCAGCTGTGAAATTAGGGGATTCTCCTGCTATGAGAGTAGTAAGGAAGCTAAACAGAAAATTTAGAAAGAGAAGTACTAACAGCAAAAGTTTTGAGGATTTGGGATCCTGTGATTCTTTGATTTGCTGCAGGATGTAGTCACTGATAGCCAGCAGGAATCACGGGTGCTCAGCCCACAGAGAACAAGGCCACACTTCACTATACTGATGAGATAACGTAACAGATCAGGGACGAGTGCTGGGCACTTGAACTTGTCTAAATGGCTGAGATAAGAAAGCGGCAGCTTCTAGAGGGAATCAGTGTTTCCCCTGTGTAACTCATGCTCCGGCAAATGACACTCGCCAACAAAGAGTGTGATGAATACTTTGTATTTGGGGAAGAAGAGACTTAGCAGTAGGTATGGAAGAAACATTATTGACTTGTTATTAAAGTAGGACCAACCCTTCTTACTGCCCACATTTACTAAAAGAATCCTAAAAGAAAAATGTCTAGCCTTAATTTGCAATGTGTAATCTTTCAGTAGATTCCATTTATGTCATGTGAGTTGACTGGGGAGGGAACTTCCACACTTTATTTTCTGTAACAAATCACTCATGTTTTCCTGCTAGCAGAACACTGGCTATCTCCTCGCTTGGCACATTTCTGGTCAAGAGGTGACAGCCACAGGGGAGGACTTGAGGAATGCTGCAGTTCCTTGTGCCAACATCCAAGCAGAACCCGTGGACAACCATAAAAATACTCAAGTGCTTTATATCCTTTATATGCTTTACCATAGAATGAAAATATTTTCTGATGAGACAGTTACTTTTTAATGAGAAATTCATCAAGGCATTTAGAAATTAGGTCAGAGTGAGAAGCTCTGGAGATTTTAAGATTTCTGGGTAACTGGAACTTCCAAACTGTCAAAATTCAGCCAGATGCTGTATCATAAATGGCATTGTACCAATAAAAACACCATAGCACATATCAGCTTCAACAACTATTTTGACAGCAAACCTTCCTTGCTGTATTTAAGGGTGAGAATGAAAAGCTTTATATCATTAAACATGGAACAGTCTCCTCCCATTTTTGGATGACTATGCCACATCAGACTGTTTTCTGTATTAGTACCAGAGCATTAGGCATGTTTAAAGGACACACGCATACACAGTACTCCAAACACTCGGAGAAATGAAGTTACGTGTACCTGCCTGTGGTAGCCTGGTGTCTTCACACTCAAGTTTCCTATGTTAGCAGTTCCTTATTATTAACACCAGAAATTCCCTAGAGCCCAAAACGTGCTAGGCGTTTCAGTGCGGGAAAAAAAAATAGAGTTTGGTCTGTAGTCATTCACAAGCCTAACCCCTGTCAAATACAGCTCTTTACCCCCTGATGTGCCTGCATTTTACATAGATTTTTTGCACTCCTTCGGCTGCTGCTGCGATGCCGGGCAGGGATAGGATCCAGAATAGGAGACTACATGAGACTACAAGAGAAGGGTTTCAACCTGATCATAGGCCAAGGTATGATTTGGAAAACTGTATTTGATTCGGTCAGAAAAGTGCTGGAGCCCGGCAGCCCTAGAGCCCGGGACGGGGCGTGCGGAGCTCCCGCCTTCCCACGTCAGCAGCGGCCGATTTCCTGGGGCAGGGCCGCGCCGGGGCTCCGTGGCGGGGAGCGGCGGCGGGGTCGCTCTCAGGGGCCGCGCTCGGCGGGGGCGGGCGCGGTGCCGGCGCAGGCCGGGCCGGCGGGGCGGGCCGGCACTACAAATCCCGAGAGGCGGCGGGCGCGGGTTGAGCCGTCCCCGCTCCCTGCGCGGCCCCGGGGCTGCGGCCGCGGCGGGCGAGGCGATGCCGGCGGCGGGCTCGGAGGGGGAGGAGGGTCTGGCCGGGGAGCAGCCCGGCCCCGGCACCCCCAAGCTCTGCGGGTACCTGCAGAAGCTGTCGGGCAAGGGGCCCCTGCGCGGCTTCCGCAGCCGCTGGTTCGTGTTCGACCACCGCCGCTGCTACCTCTACTACTTCAAGGGGCCGCAGGAGCCGCTGCCCCTCGGGCACCTGGACATCGCCTCCGCCTGCTTCAGCTACCACCAGCCGGAGGCAGGCGCGGCCGCCGCGGGGGACGAGCCCGCCGCCTTCGAGGTGCACAGCCCCGGCGGGGCCGTCACCGTTCTCAAGGTAGGCCCGGACGGGCGGGACCCATCGCCGCTCCTGCCCCGGCCCCATCCCCAGCCCCGGTGCCGTCCGTTCCCGCGGTACCGCCCCGGCTCCTCCGCCGCGCCCGTGGGAGCTTGTGTAGGAAGGAAGGTGCTGTTTGGCAAACGCCGGGAGATCGGCAGTACCGGGCTGGCCCCAGCTGTCTGTTAGTTGCGTCTTTCTTCTTTACAATTTCATGTTTACCGTGCTCCTCTGAGGGGGAGGAAATGCTTCTGCTGAGCATGGGTTGAGTGGGTTCTCTGGAATCGTCTGGGCAGAAAAAAATTTCCGAAGAAATCTGACGGGTTGGGGTTTTGGAAGTTGGGAGGGAGTGGTCGGGTTTCAGTTTTGGAGCGTTTGTGTAGAAAAGATGATGCGTGGCAGGAGTCTGCTTTGGGAGGAAGGAAGAGGAGGGAGAATTGTTTCCTCATAGTAGTGGAGGCTGCTTATCGCACTGTCTGTTCAAGGACTCAGATTTTCCTAGGACATGAGGTACATGTTTGGATTATTTAAGGTATCTTTCCTCTATTGACATGCCTAGGGGAAAAAAAAAACCAACAGGGAAACCATTTTGACTCAGTAAAGAAGAAATAAATTATTCTGAGCGTCCATTATTTTTGAATTCTGTTAAGGCAAATTTGTGTCCTTCAAGGAACGTTCTTCTGCCTAGAATGTAACTTTTCACGTGAACTGTGTACTTTCTGAGAAACATTCTGAGTATTAGAACATAATCCATTAAGTTAAGCAGTAGAACTTCCTATTGAATACTGGAAAATACCTCTTACACTTACTTAACAGTGGAGATTTGAGCAGTCATAATACCTGCTGGGACTGCGGAGCATGATGGTGTCAAGTTCTTTGGCATTCTGTTTTGATGAGTTTAAATGTCAAAATACAGGTTCATTACCATGCTTTACTAGAGAGTAAGAAATTTATTTACCTAGGAAACTAATGCAATAATAATTTTAACAGTATTTGCTTAGGTAAAAACAGTGTAGTCAGTTGCATGTAAACCTACTTTTGTATAGTTGTAAAAGATTTTACTGCTTTCAATGAATCTGCCTTTATAGCCCAAGTGTTTGTGTTATGAACATTAAAACTGCAGACTTGGTTTAAGCTTTGCTTTCAATAGTTTGAGTAGTTTTGTTTGTTTTAATTAGGATCTAGTGATTTGTGATTTTACGTGGAGATCTACAGAAAAATTTTGTGTTGAGGGTGCTTTTTGAATCGGAGGGGTTTTGTTGAGAAACACAGGCTTTGTGATAGAGTGCAGTGTGAAATGCTGTGTGCCGTGTTTAACTGTCTGTCAGACAGTACTTTGGCAGCAGCCTTGGGTGTCTTCAATGCTGATACACAAATGTAAGACATGGGAGGTTTCTTTTTCATATTTTTTTTGGTATCTTTTGGTCTGTGTTGTTGCTACTCTGCCCGTATTTTATGTGTTAATTCTTTTGTGCTGCTCTCTAGGAAAGAACGTGCATAGATTGGAACTTTCTTCATGTTTCCCTTATGGGGATTGAGAAGTGGTGCCAGTTAAAAAAATAAAATTAATTTCTGCAATTAGCAGAAAAAGATCATTTTGTGTTGTGATGCCCCAAAGCAGCCACGTGATTGTACATCAAAATTATGTTATGTTGTAGGTATTTATATAGTAAAGAAGGAGTTAATGAAAATCTTACGGGATATTGCAGGACCGACTGGCATTTTGTGGTCTTGTCATTCACCAAGGTATAAGGTTTTTGCAGCTGAAATTTATTTTCTTCAGTCCAGCATGATAGTTCTTTAAGGCATCCTTCAGCTAACTTAGGTAGAATTGCAGATTAATTCAAGATGGTAGATGAAAAAACCCAGACAACCCAACCCCTCTCCCTCCCGCTCCAGTTCAGCCCCTGTTAAAAGCAAATGTGATTTTCTATCAAGAAAACATTACACACAGAGCACGAGGAATAAAGTCAAGTGAAATGTATTCTTCAGCCTGTAATTCACATGCTTTGTTTTCCTCAATTTGCTGCTTGTTCAAAATTTCCACATCTTGTGATCTGCCCTTTCCCATTCAGTGTTACAGACTGAGAAGAGCAATACAAAATAAGCTACTGGAATTCCAGATTGAAATGATGGTGCTATTGAGGAATGCATTATTTCTTGTCATGCCTCAGTTTCTTGTTAGTGTAATGATTCCATCATCTTGATTGCTCAGCCTTTTGTCAGGTAATGGGAGCAGAGAACTCTATGATGTACTCTAGCTTTGTTTTCCAGATAAGAATTTTGAAAAAATATACTGCAGCCTTTACAGCAAATAAAGCAAAAAATCCATATTTTAGAGCTGTAGATAACCAGCCTGCCACTTGTGTGATTGTGTTTTTTCTGGACATTTCCAACAGGTGCAATAGAGCAGAAGCAGCTAAGTGTGTGTAAAAATCTCTTGCATTTAGATATGTAACAGATACCATCCCTTTAGGTAAAGGAGCACAGAAAATTGTGTACATTATGAATTATGGATAAATTATGATTGAGAGTATTTTTGTGGAAAAACATGCAAATACTGATCCCACAAATATATGCTGTAACACAGAATGCTGCTAATACTATCAAATGAACATTTGGCCATGTTTGCACAGCAAGGCTTTGCATTCAAGGGGGAAATAATTGACATTATGAATATATAAAAATGAACAAAGGCGGCATTTCTCGTTTATTTTTGAAGCAGTGTCTTGTAGTGATACATTTTGCTTGCTTCAGAAACAAGGGAACTCTGTCCGGTGATCCTGGACTGTGTGTCTGGTCACTTACGTGTGGGTAACTTGTCTGTGAGTCGTGGGGATTTGGGAGCGGAAGAGAAATTGCACAAGAGTTGTGAAAGAAAAAAATATTTTCTGGGCTATTGGCCAGGTGTAAGCATCCCAGACACTGCAGATTTCAGGGCCCTGATGCTTGAAAGTATTGGACACCAAACTTGCTGAACTGAGAGTGGCTTAGGAGCGGGTGCTGTAATTTGTCAGTGATCTCAAAAGATGCAGCAGTGACCAGTGATGTTGAGCTTGAGCAGTTTTGCTGCAGGGCCTGACACAGCAGAGGAGGGAGCTTAGCACTGAGGGTGGTTTGTTGTCTGAGCTGATGCATTTTGCTCAAAACTTTGCTGGTTAGTGGTTGCAGTGCTTTAATTAAAAGTTGGGCTGCCCTCCAAAAGAAGCCATCTGGCTCCAGATTTGCTGTTTGAGCATAGCAGGAATAGTAAATCTTAAGAAATGCAGACTTTCTGGTGATCTTCCCTTTTTACAAAGTAGCTTGAGGGAGAGTTTGTGTGTGTGTGTGTTCAGAAATGTAGCAAGAATTATCATGAGATTTCTCAAAATGTGAGGTCTTCTTGCTGCATCTCTTTGGACTCTTCCTTTAAAGTATTTAATGTTGGCATACGTGTTCCACCAGTGTGTCCAGATAGAGGATGGCAGTGCATGGATGTTTTCCTCGAATAATTCTTCTGTTTGTGTCATGTCTGCATCAGAAGGTGACAGTTCTACATCATTCTTAGTGGAAGGATTTAGGAGAATGTTTTAAATTAAATTATAGTAATTTTCCATCCTTTAAGTTGAGAACTACGTGGTACTCTATGGCTCTTCACTTAGGAGTGTCTTTTACTCCTGCTGTTGCCTGTAAGTTTGCAGCAGTACACTTACAGTAATTCCTTATTTCACACCAGTTCAGGTGACATTCATGGTAGTTTTTTCTTCTCACAGAATGGCATCCATTAAAATGTGACTGCATGGCTCTGCAGTAAGGAAGCACCTTAGCAATACCTCAGTAGCTATAAGGATTTTTTGATTGCTACTGTGTTTAGTTAAATGTTTTGGCTCTCCTGGTGGGCAGTAGCCAAATACTAGTAAGAGTCATGAGAGATGGGCAAGCATGAAAGTGTTCCTTTCTTTGACAGATAAAGTGAATTTAAAAATATGTTTTGAAATTTGTGCTCTTTATGATTAGGGGAAGAAGAAGACTTAAATATTCTATGTGTGGTTGTTGGTTTTATTTTGTTTTCGTTTTTTTAAACAGTCTATTTTTAAACAACAGCTTAAATGATTAATTTTGTTTAAACCAAACTAATTTTAACAGAAATTTTTAGGATACTCTTTTAGTTATAAATAACTGAGATGCCTGTAATAAACTCAGCCAAAACTGTTCAAAGGGAGAGGAAGACTCCAGAAGAGGAGGACCGTGTATGGGAGGAAAGGGAGGCAAGGTAACAGGCCGGGAGCAGCAGGAGGGCACGGAGTAATTCTTGGGCAAATTACTTAAAGCAGGGGCTTGAGAACCTTGTCCTGGTTTGCCTTGACCCTTTGTGCTGAAGGGTGGGCACTGCTGCCTGGCCCTGTGTGTAACAACATCGCCTGGGAGCTGAGGGTGCATCCCTGCAGCTCAGAAGAGAACAAGTGCAGCTGGGAATTGAAAAGCAGCAAGGAGCAACTCCAATAACATTGATTCATTGTTCTCTGAAGGTGATTGGTGAGATGGTAGCGGGACAAATTGTCAGAGAGGTTCATGAAGTTCAAGAAGTCATGGGCAGAAGCTAATTGTAGGTATAGCTTAGACTGACTGCAGGTGGATTGCCTCATTAGTGTGTTGTGGTAGCAAAGAGAACCACATAAACACTGCATCCTGTGTTAGTGGAAACTCTTTGAATTCTTGGTGTTGTTTTGCTGAAGCACAGTAAAACATTGCTTTACATGGCCTGTGAGCAAGTGTCTGTAAAGGAAGTATAAGCTCTCAAATTTACCAGAACTGAAGACTTGTCACTGGCTAAAGCTCCAAAGGAAATACTTCAGTGCTAGCAACAGAAGGGGAGATGTTTACTCCTGGCAAGAAGTGACTGTAGTCTGTAGACTTAAAAATCTGCTCCTGTGGTGGTCATTCCCAAACTGCCAGAGGTGGCTGTGGGGATTGGCATTTTCCAGAGTCCAGTTCTTTGACCTTCTGAGCTATTCTTTACCCTATGTATTTTTTATGAGGGAAATGGTTTTCTGTGGTTTCCTGTGAGTAAGCAAGAAAGAATATATGAAGCTGATTTCCATTTCAGGTTAAGAAGTATCTTGGTTACATATCTTTCTTACCAACTGACTCTGTAGTGTCCTCATGTGTCACTTGTTTGTTTCACTTCTTGATTTCTGAATGTTTACTTGATTTATATATCTTCTATCCTGCCATGTCCATAATGTACTGAAAGGAGCAGGATCAGCAGCTCCAGAAATAACTGAGGTTTTCTGTTTAATCTCCTTGAATGGTCCTTTGGAGCCATTTGCTGTAGGGTGTCATGGATGTTAAAGCTTGTAGGGGTACAAAGAGCCAAAAGGTAGAATGAAAATCTGTCTCTCTCATGGTTAAACTGAGATTGTAAATTGCTGAACCAGAGAGAGCACCCTGGGGAAGCATCAGTTTTTGTTTGCTGTGCTGTGTATGTCTTGTCATTAGCTGCTCTTGGGGCCAAATTATAATGGCCAATGAATCTTCAATTTTATTAGACCAGAAGTGTTCTTATGTGAAAAATGTAGACAATTCTGTGTCATTGCTGTGCTTTATGCAGCACTTACTGTATACCTTTGTAACTAAATGTGTGTTATTTGTTGCTCTCCATTCTTTTGTAGCTGTGCCTTGCACAGGTGCCCTCTTAATTTTTGAGGAACAGAACAAAAAACTGTTTGAAATTAGGTTGTCTTTAAAGAATAAGCATAGTCCTCTTTTCCACTGATAATGCCATCATGCACTTTGGGAGGAGGTACGGGAAAGGCCGGCTAAAAGATAAGCACCGCATGTGCTAACAAGCCAGAGGAGTTATGGGAGTGTCTTCTCATCAGTGTTAATTGTTTTGTTCCTGGACAGTCCATGTCACCAGGTCAGGTGCTTGTCCTAGACTGGCAGCTGGAGAGGTATGTTGAAATAACAATAACTTTTCCATGAGAGCACCTGCAGTGTCAGATACCTTCACTTGTCTCTTCTTGGTATTTGTATATTGTCATTTCACATGCTTTGAAATGGCTTAGAGCTTTGAATCAAGGTATGTATGAATTCTTCCTCACTCAATGCCCATTCACATTTTTGACTGTAGTCTAGTAAGTTAGGCATTAATGTTGGATTTTGGGGTTTTTTTGTTTTAAATATGATTTTTCTATAGAAGCTAGTTAGCTCATGGGATCATCAGGAAATACAGTATGTAAGATTTAGTCATTAAAGTAAGAGGCATTACAATGCATTATTCATTTATTGGTTTCTGCTGGTAAGAAAGCAAGTTAAAAGAAAATGGGAATCTTCCTGAATGTGTATGGGATTTTTTTCCAATAATATTGATTTGTAGTTATATGTTCAAACAGTGCTTTGTGTGTAAAATATAAGATACTGCTGCATTTTCTAAAGTTTGAGTGTAAAACTGAAGAAAAGGAAAGCGTGAGACTACTTCTAATGAAAAATTCTGGTGTGAAAATCATGGATGTGACCACAAGATGTACCTGGTGCATTGTGGTTATTTCTTTAAAATCATACTGATTTTGAGTGATGGTACCTTGGTGATCTGCTGATTATCTGTGTTGGGTTTATTATGGCACTTGAAATTACAGTGTTCACGTACCAAGGGCATGCAGAAATCTCACCAGCCCTGCTTCTGTGTCCTGCAGGCTGCAACTCGGCAGGACATGACCTACTGGCTTCAGGAGCTGCAGCAGAAGAGGTGGGAGTACTGCAACAACCTCGATGCGGCCAAGCGGGACAGCCGGACTTCCCCCACACCCAGTGACTTTTCCAAAGGTCTTGTTGCCAAAGACAACCCTGGTACGTTGGAAACTTGAGTGAGAACAGAAGGCACAGCTCTCTTCAGTGTCAGTTCATCAGTACAAGATGTTGCACTGGGGTAGAGAACAGCCTTAAGTGGGCTTTTTCACATCTCTTTATCAAGTAACTCTATGTAAACTTTGCAAATGCTACAATATTTAACATAAATGTGATTTTATATGTGATTTCGTATCCTTTACAAAATCTGTTGATTTCTTGAAAAACAGATTTTTAGAAATGAAATAAAATAGAGTAGTCTTACGACTAGGTTTCATTAGGCTTAGGTAAGTTGTCTTAGTGGTTGCCATATCTTAAAAAGTTAGTATAGTAAATGTCCTGAGATGTAAACTCCAGTTTTTAATGGGAACAGGTATATTTTGCATTCTGAATGGCCATGCTTTGTTCCTGAAAAGGTATGGTGTGGTGGATCTGTCTGACTTTGATAAAAATGCAGTGCCTTCAAAACTGAAAGGCAGTCTGCACTGATATTACATAAGTGAAATTCAGTCTCTGAAATACCTTTAGGCAAGGAAAACAAAATTCTACACTAGTGTCAGAGTTATAAAAATGTCTGTGCATTATACAGAGTTATTCTGCATTTTTTACTACATTGCACACACACTTGTGTATTGTTTTATTCCTCAGTCCCTACAGAAATGGATTCCTTGCTGATTTCTGTTATCTGTAAATAAGACCGAGTAAAATCCAGTTCTGTGCCAAGTTAGGCATTAGTAAGGCTCTCCTGGGTTTAAGCAGTCTTGAGGTCAGGCATGTTTCATCAACAGATGTCACATTTGGTTGATGTCACTTTGCTCCTACTGTAAACCCAGCAGTGTTGAGCTGCTGTTGTCACACCTTGTCCCCTCCTGAGTTTGAAGTCCTGTTGCAGTGTTGTCCTCTAACCCATTCTCTCCTTTGAGAGAATGTGCTGCTTGTGGCTGCTTGCTCAACACAGCTGGCCTCACATGTGTGTGCTGGGGGCTCACCTGGGCCTTTCAGCCACTGCAGGCAGCTCCTGCTGGGAGCAGAGCCCAGCCCCTGAGCTGGTGCAGGGCTGGGTCTGCAGGCAGCAGCAATCAGCCTCTTCTCCAGATCCGTTTTTTGGCCAGTGTAGTTTCCAGAAGTAGTTTACTGTAGAGACAGGTGAGTGGCAGGATTAGCCCAAGAGAATTGCTGGGAATGCCAAGTGGGATGGTTTGAGACCCCTTTTTTTGGTAGCAGCTTGTCAAACCACATGCTCCAGGGCACATGTATTGGTGGGCAAAAATCTAAGTGTTGCAAAAGAGAGCAGGCTTTGGCTCTTTCAGCCCTTTGTATTTCTGCCTTCAGCCTCTTGTTCTCTGCTGCACAGGCTCCCTTTTTTTGTTATATTTAACTGACCCTGTGCTGAGTAGGTTGAGTTCATATGTCAGCCAGAAAGGAGCACTTTTTTAAAATTTCTGCTAGATTGATGAGTGGAATATGTTCAGTGTGCAATCAGGTGGTTGCACAGCTGGTGGACAGGAGGGAGCAAGGCACAGTGACCAAATACAGGAAGGCAGAGTAAAGCAGCAGACAGGCCTGCCGTCCTGGCAGCCGTGTTGGATCACATCAACTGTAATATGTAACTTGGCCACAGGATCTGTTCTTGTTTGTGCTACTTCCCTCAGAGCAGCACGTTGGGTACAGTGTGAAACGAGCCTCTGTGACTGCAGCCTGTGCAGGTGCTGTCCCCTCACACCTGTTTTGCATCACATCCAGTCATTTCATCACTAATCTGGTATTTTTCTGTAAGTCATTGGGGGCTTTCTGGATGAGCCAGCTGAGCCTCTTCATGTGATATTTTTTTTTCAAATTTAAATTACTATTGTTCTTATCTCCAGGACAAGGAATGTCAACATATCATGCATGGGCTGAGTAGGCCCATCCCTTTCAGGGGTAGCCTGCAGTTAAACTGCATGATGTAGAATTTGGAGCTGCATCTAGAGTAGCTCATTTTCTAGGACAAATCACAGTGATAACTCGTGTCTTCAATTGAAGAATTTAAGTAGGGATTCCTTTAGGGGAAAATGCAAATAGCCAGAATGATTGATGTTTGTTCCTTCTTTTTAGTCAAGTACTCCAGGAGTTTCTTCTAGAGTTATGGGATTCTGTAAGGCTCTGGTTTCACGTTGATGACTAAGATATGTGTCTTGTGGCTTTTTTTTTTCTTTTTTTTTTTTTTTAAGAATTGAATGTGCATGCAGTGTTGTGCTTTATACCGGAGCATAGAAATTGCTTTATTTTGCTAGTGCTCGAGTACAGATGCTCTCACTGATGTTTTGAATGGGGAAGTAGTCTGCCTTCAGTCCAAACCCAGAACTCCTTACTGCGGCTTTGCCTGTCTGTCCTGCCCTGTCCTCTCCCCTCCCTGTTCAGAAATTCTGGACTAACTGGGGCATACATGGAGCTAGATACTGCTTTGTGGATCAACCTTGAAAGGTTTTTAAGAACATTCAACGTAGTGAAAAATACTTCAAAGTATTTTTCAGAGTGGGATGTGGGAAATTAAATATTAACAATAATTACACTGTAGGATTTGTCCTGGAGGTGCCTTACTACCATGGAAGTCAAATAAATTATTTATTATTTTATTTCTATTTATTTATAATATTATTTATTTCTTTATATTTATAATATTTTTTATTATTTTTTTCTTGAAATCGATTAAATGTTAATGTAATTTCTATTATTTCAGTTCTTAATTTGCATTAATAAAACATGCAATGCCATGTATTTATGAGATTGTTGTGTTTTAAAATAAGTTCCAAACAAGATTTTTTTTTTTTTCACTTGGAGGTTGCACGAGCAGCCATTATCATTTATTGTGCTTTGTGGGCTGTGCAGTCCATGCCTCTAACAAAGCTCCTGGCTGGTGTGGGCAGGGGATGATGTCCAGTGGGCAACCTCAGCGTGCCACATTCAGACAATTGGCATGTCTGGGAGGAAAAATACATTTGTTGGGAATTCAGCTCTTGGGCAATTCCTTTACCTGGACCATCGTCTAAAAGGACTTAGCAGAATCAAACAGGTAGAAGATGGAACAAGCTGTAAGTGTAAAGGCAGAGTGTTACTATGCTACCCTGGCTTTGAGAATCCATACATTTTTGGTCTGTGTGTTGTGGGTTGGTTTTTGGGTTTTTTTTCCCCTTTGGGATGTTTGGGTTTCCTGGGAGGGCAGGATTGAGTTTGGTTTTGTTTCTAATTATTATTTTGTAGTTAAAACTACTTATTATCTTTCCTCTTCATTATACAGTAAATATAATCCCATGTTTAGTTTTATCTAAGCTATTTTAGCTGAACTGTGCTTTGTTCAAACAGCCACAGCGCAAAAGAACTTGGAATTCTCTTTGGCTGATAAGGCCCTGAAGTATCTGTTCATAAAAATCAAGGCAGTGTAACTTGTACCTCTATTTGAAACATGACATGATACATTTCTGTGTCAGATACCATTTTTCAAGGGTTTGAGAGATTCCTAGTGTCAAGGGTTTGAGAGATTCCATATTCTTTATCACAGGATGTTCTTTCTACTTCTAATCTTTGATACTTGATAAAAGTAACCCTCTGCTGAGTAATTGGAGGGTATGGTTTGCTTGAAGATGGTCTTGCTGCTGGTTACAAGCAATTGTCAGAGCAAAGGCTGAAAGACTCACCAGTGATAAAAGAGGGCATCGTGATTTCCTAGGGCTTTATTTAAGTCAGAGCCCATCCAATAATATAATTTTCTAATATAATGTTGAAACTTTCTAATATAAATGTTGAATCAAGTCTGAGATTGTTGTCAAAAAATCTTTAATCCACTTCAGTCTTTATGAATTATATCAAGAAGAATCTGAAAATTGCATTTGGATTTGTTTAACTTGCCTTTTCAGTGGGTTTGTAGAAGACTGTAAACCACTTTACGCTTCTCTCTAATGCTTTTTGCTATTCATAGTATATTCTGTATTCTGGATTTTTTACTTCCTCTGCCTGCTGAGGGAGAAAGCAGCTCTCCAGACTAATGGAATCACCGAGGTAGCACTGCAGGCTGTGCAGTGTGTGTTTGCCAGGGCGGTGTGTTGGAGCTCTGCTGTGCTGGTTGGGCCAGCCCGGCTCCTCCGGCCGTTGTGAGCTGTGGCTCAGGGCTGGGCCAGTTCCTGGAGCTGTTGGGAGCCCGTGGGGTTTGCTGGGGTGTGCAGGACTGCACTGCAGCTCTGCACGGCCTCACCGTGGGGCCCCCGCTTGCTCCAGTGCGCAGGAATTAGGCTGGGGTGGGTTGAGGAGGAGCTGCATTCCGGAATCCTCACTGGTGCAGGAAGTGTCTGCTGTCCTGCAGAGCTGTGCCAGCGTTCTTGGTTCTGGCAGTGCCCAGCCCGGCCTGGCACAGGACTGCCTCAGGGCTCTGAAGGTCACTGACTTGCAGCAGCAGCCTCACTTTTGGGATGAATAACTTACAGGATGAAGCACACCCTGAAAGCTGGCTCAGTGTTCTGGACTTAGTTCTGACTGGCTATTTTGTCGATCACTCATGAAATAATGCTTTGTAAGCATCACACAGGTCCTGTCTGTTGTCAGAAGTATGTGGCTGCAGTGACATCTCACTGAGAAGTTTGTGATTTATAAGGTTCATTTGAACTGAATGTTTCATAAAGTTTTTCACTTTTAGCAATTTAAAGTAAACCCTGAACAATGTCACTAGCAGACTTAGCAGTCTATGACTTACATAGCCAATATTCTTTTACTTATTGAAGGTTGTGCTTATTTTTTTCTCTCTCTTACTTTTTTTTTTGTTTATTTGGGTTTTTTTTTTGTTTGTTTTTTTTTTTTTTTTTGTTTTTTTTTTTTTGTTGCTTTTTTTTTTTTTTTGGTTTTGTTTTTTTTTTTTTTTTTTTTTTGTTTTAATATAGATTTGAGTATCCTAAGTCAAAATGCTTCAGCAGAGAGAGCTAGAAATATTCTAGCTTTGGAGACTTCTCCTACAGACCTGGTGGGGGAACAAGCAGCTTCCCAGCCTGCACCAGTCCAAGCAAGTGCCATCAATTTCTCTCTTAAGCAATGGAGTACTGAGATCAGGTAAGTTGTGAACCTGGGATAAAGAGTTACCATGAGATAGTCTTGGTCAGGAACTACCAATTTCCTACATCGATTATGTGGTCAGTGGAGCTTCTTAAAATGATGGGACGTGGTTGGGTGGATTTGTTTGTTGTATCTCTTCAAGTAAACAGTTTCTTTACTGTTTGAAGGTTTTTGGGAACATTATTGTGTAGCATCACACACTGGAAGTACAGCACTTCCAGTGATGGCTTTGCTCTCTGAATCCCAGTGGTTGTTGAGGCTGAGTTGTATTCTCAGCCACTGCTGCTTTTTCATGGAGCTGTCACCTCCCAGCATTGTAGTAGTCATAGTACTCAGTACATAGGAACTATTTTTAGTGATGAAAATCAAACCAATATAAATCCTTTGTTTTCTTCTTAAAAGAAATGAAAACACATTTGAAGTGGGCACAGATTTGAAGTGATATAGTTCAAATTCCTGAGCAAAAATGTGGCAGACCCCTTCTGAACAAGATCAAAACCCCTCACTCACAATGAATTTACTCTTTAGTATTAATTGCTTTAAGTAAAGTAGTTCCATTGGTTTTCAGCTATCCTGTTGGATTTCTTTCTAAAGAATGTTGTGGTTTGCTTTGCCCACATAGATGGATTTTCTACTTCTGCTTAAAGCATGTTACAGTGCTAATGCAGAGCAGCTCACAAAGCAGAGCTGTAGCTTTGGTTAAAAAACTGCAGCATGTAAAGCATGTCCTTCTTGAGCTGGGAGGAAAATGTTCATTTTCATCAGCAGTGTGAAGTTAAACAGATCCCCTTTAAAGCTTTCTGGTTTAGTGTAGAGATCTGAGAGGTTACCAGATGGTGTTGGTTTTGACTCTTTTTCTGGCTGTGGGTTGTTTTTTTCTTTTTTTTTTTCCTAGTGTTGTGGTTGGTTGTTTTCCTCCCTTCCCCAACAGTTCTGTGCCATTTGGGATGGGGGAAAATCTGGCAGCCTTTGGAATATGTGTGCCTTATCCAGTGTCTTACTGGATTGTGATTAGTTACAGCCCCAGAGTTAGAGGATGGATCAAAGTGTGTCTAAAACTGCAGAGAGTTTCCTCTCTTGCTATGGGCACATTTTTGTTTTATATTTATTAATTTGTATTAAGGTGTGTAGATGTCTCATAAAAGCCTTTGTCCTTCCTTCTGAACACACTTACACACATTTAGTGTGTCTGACAGAAAAGATACTGCTATAATAGCTGTATTTGCATCCTAGGTAGCAGTTGTGATGTAATAATGGGGGGGAAAAAAAGAAAAACATGTCTTGGAGTTAAGCAGTGTATATATTTACAGTAGTTAAAGTTGAAATGTTCTTCTCTACTTTTAAAAATACACTTTCAAATACTATTTGATAGATACTGACATTTAGGCTTTATTTTTTTTTTTTTCATGCTCTCATCTACTTATTTATGCCTAATATAGATTTGGAAGCATACTGAATTACTATAACTTCCAGTTATATAACCATAAAAACATGACTTAAACCCCAAACATTTTAAAATAGAGACTCATTAGATCATATGTTTCTCTCTTGTGTAAGTTGTCCAGTTGTACTTAGGGAAAGAAATGCTGTTTTCAAATTTGTCTATTTAATCTTTCATCTTATTTTAATCTAATAGAAAGCAATGGAGGTCTGCTGCTTGAGTGCCCTGAACAAACCTGTGCAAAAGCTTTACAAAAATCAGCATCAGCTATGATTTTTCATGGGCCTAACAGCAGTTCTTTAAAGAAGCTTTTCTGGAAGTCACTTGGCTTGTTTGTGGTTTTTTCAAGCTGTAGAAGGTGGTGTTCAGGCTTTTAGATGTTGAGGCTGAGTGAGTGCAGAGCAGGCACAGAGAACAGAAGGGAGAATGTGGGGTTTGGAGTTGCCTGGTAAGAGATCAGCCACCATTTGGAGAAGAGGTGTAGAGATGCTAGGGGGCCCTTCCCAAGACACTCGCTGCACTGGGTGTCCAATTCATCATTGCCCAGTTTGATCTGCTTAATTTGTGTGGAACGTCTGAACAAAGAAATTAAGCTTCTTGCCCTCAACAGGAATTATGATTCTTTCTGGGAGAAAATTAAATCTGTAGCATAAAGGAGTCTTTGCCAAACTTGTAAATCAATTGCTGAAATAGTTTTGTTAATACCCATTAGGATTATTTTTAAATTGTAAATATTTATCAATTAATCAGATGATGAAGGTTGTCTACTACTTTATGATTGGCTTAGAGTTCATGTTGATAAAATGTTAAATGTCTTGTGAAGCTGAAAGACTGACTTGGATCATCAAATGATCTTGAAAGTGTAATATGGATTATTTTCTGCTTAAGTTTGGAAGAGAGAATGTGGATGATTGAGTGAAAGCTTTTGTTTTCCACACAATCTCTGAGCTTGCACAGATTGTGTGGAAAATGCTGAGATACTAAATATATTTCAGTTTTATGCCTAAAATATTAAACTGGTTCATATGGGTTGATTTGGAATGTCCTTATGTAGTTGAACAAATGCTTTGCAATACTGAGCTATGTTAATACTCAAGGACTCAAGAGCTGACATTTCCTGAGTGTGTGATGGTTGTGGGGGAGCTGGGTCAGGTAATCTCATCCTGCTGGGAAATGTATTGTTCTCCTATAGAATTCTCTGGCTGGAATTCAGAGGCTGCCCCTGAAATGTTCTTGCAGATAGTTGGCCATGTTCCACCGTAGAAAAGAAAAACTGCAAAGGAGTCTTGTCATCAGCATTTCAGCAGCAGCAGGTCTCTTGGATGATCCCAAGTTTTCTGTTAATCCCCAGTATGGAGCTATAAGATATGTGTTTTGACTGCATGCTGTTCAGTTTAATGCTTGGCAGTTACCCTAAAATTCTAAACTACAACTGACCAATAAAGAGATGCTGCTTGTAAATCCTAACTTTCTTTTGTACTTGCCCGCTGCAAAAACAAAGCTAAAACAGGGGGATTCAAAAGACCATGGTGTTAAAGTAAAATAATTCTTCTGTTCTTGAATTTAGCTGTTGATTGCAAGTGCTATTTAGTAGCATATGTTTTATTTTCTTTGAGCTTTTATTTTATTTATTGGTATTGGTTTTGTCTGTTTTTTTAGCTTATTTTTAGTTTGCACTGTTTGAACTGTGAAAAGCCCCTTATAAAAATAATGCAAAATGGAGAAATATTTGTCACTTTTTCCTGCTGCTTTTTACACAGAAATTCCATGTCCTCCTTAAGAAAAGGAAGTAACGAAAATCGCAGGAGTGTCTTTTATACCACTGAGGAGTGGGAACTGCTGGATCCAACCCCAAAAGATTTGGAGGACTCAATGGCTCTGGAAGAAAAAAGGAAACACCTGGCAGAAGGAAGTAAAGGTAGAACTGGAGGAAGGAGGGGGATCATATGCCTTACCTTGTTTAGCATAGAGTACCTTGTTATGTCTGTCTCTAGAAGATAAGTGGAAGCATATCTTTTTCTTCACAAACCACATCCAGATCTCTGTAAACTATTTTTAAAAAATCAATCTCTTAGGATGTGTTTGGGGTCCTCTGCCATTCAAATACAAGAGAATAAAGATAAAGCCTTGTTATCCACTGGTTTGGGTTTCCTGAGCATGCTACTGGTTTGTTTTGTCACACGAGTTGCAAAGTGACAAGGCGAAGGGAGATGCTGATGTCTGCACTTACTCACTTGAGTGTCACCCACTGAAGCAGAGTTGCCTTTAGACTCTGTGGATGTACCTGTTACGGGGCAGAAGCAGGGAGGGACGTGAGGCAACAGCTCATCTGTGTATTGTAACTGGTTCTCAGATTCCACCAGTGTCTGCAATAACCTTGTCAAGATGGTTTTATATCTTTTTAAGAGCACCTTAGGTGACATCCAACTGATTTAATCTGTTAGAAAATATCCTGTTTGTGGAGGTGAAACCTTACATTGAATCCTCTTATAGGAGCAGTAGGCTGTGATATCAGATGTGGTTTTGCTCTGATTATTTGAAGGGAAGTTTACTTTGCCATGGTTACAGATACCTTTTATTTTCTGTAATGAATTGTAAAATTCTCTTCATGTCTTACATGAAAAGTACTAATTTATGAGCCAAGTCTTTTATCTGGGAGGGGAGAAGATTTTTGAGCTTTTTTTTTCCCACCAAAGAAAGCAACTTGGAAAATGAGGCATGTTTAACAGTATTGTATTGAGTGGTTTGAAAGCCGTTCAAAGTCTAATGTTAATGAGTATATTTTTAAGGAAATCTGAATGCTTTGAAATGCCTTTTTGCTAAGTGAACCGAACTAGAAGAAATTGTTTTATGCAGGACTGACTAGTTCAGCTTTTCCATTTGATTTTGGCCGCATTCCGCACAAAGCAAGGCGCCCGTTGAAAGATATGATTGGATCAAGCAAAAACCGCAACAGCAGCGACTCTTCCCCAACAGAGTGGTGTTCTGGCAATGGGAACAGACTGGTCTCTGAGCTGCAGCTGAAGTATCAAAGCCAGCAGGAAGAGTTGGAGAAGCTGAAGAAGGATCTTTTGAGCCAAAAGGTAATTAAACCTTCAGGCAAAGTGCACAAAAGCAAATGGGTCTGGCAGGTGATTGTGAGTTTAAGCTTTCTGGCCATCTCACTGTGTTAAGACCTGGTTGGTTATTATAAAATGATGGTTCTAAACAAGCCTTTGTGTACAAAAAGTCATGAAACAAGAAGGACCATCTTTTACATCTGTTGAAGATAAGAGCGCTGAATAAAACTTCAATTTGCACACTGTTCATTGAATTGGTTTATCTGTCTTCCTTGTTCTCTGAAGTTAACTTGTTTGGTGTCTGCCAGGATCCTGGCTGATAGTCATGGCTTCTTTTTCTGTATGTACATAAGATATCTCGGGAACTTCTCCTTTCAGATTCTCTTTGTTTGTCTTTTGATTCTTTCAGTGCTAGTGCAGTGGGTGGGAAATAGACCTGGCTTCTTTCTCTCCTCAGGAGGGGTTTTGTAAGATGGGCCTAACCATAATGTGTGTATATAGACTGCACTCACATTGTGGTCATGCTTGTGTGCCCTCATAACTCCAATTTATTCAACACCTTGCTTTTATCTAAAAGAGCTTCTACTCATTTTAAGAAGAAAAATGTTTTAGATCGTATGTGGAGCTGCTGCTTCTGCTGTTTGCATTTTCCTTTGTGTGAGGTGATCAAGGGGAAACCAAAGAAGGAGTCTGAACCCTATATTTATACTCATTTTGGGCATTATCTTTCCTAGGAGTACCGTTGATCTTCTGAGCCTGATGCTATGGGAAATCCCATTGATGTAGTGCAACACTGTATTCACAGCTGCTTCTGTTTTTATAAAAAGAAAAACAGTGTCTTAGGTGGTCATTTCTGTGGGAAGATTTTCTAAACAGCCTTTCATAGACTTCCTTTTTGACAAAGCAGTGTTTGTTTTTTACCTCCTTTTATTTTCTCCGCATCCGTTAGAGACGAGAGCTCTTAGTTACCTTTGCTTTTTCCATTCTGTAACGATTTCCTGTTAACTTTTTGGGCTTAAGCCTCTTCCTTTTCACCCTACAACAGGATGCCTTGCTTGCAAGCAAGGCTTTTTTCAGCTGCCAAGTACTGCTGGGCCTCAGCTGTCCACTCCTTTTTCTTAACCTGTTGTAGCCATTTCAGGCAGGATCCTTAGCTCAGTGAAGGACACTGAAGCCATCTATGTAGGCCAGTCATTGTAAGGTGTTAGCCTACAAGAAATCATGTTGTAAAGTGTTTCCTTTTCTCTTTAAAACACCAGCATGAGGTCTTAGCCCATTGCAGAAATTTTATTTTGCTTGACGTTAGATTTCTAAGCTATAAAATTTAGAAACTTAAAATTTCATCAGGTTTTTTTGCCGTTGTTTTTTAATTCTCAGGAACTTGTTCGACTTCTGCAGCAAACAGTCCGATCTTCCCAATATGATAAATACTTTGCAAGCCACCTTTGTGAGGGGGTTCCCAAAGATACATTAGAGCTGTTGCACCAAAAAGATGACCAGATTTTGGGCCTCAATAATCAACTTGAAAAGTTATATCTAGAAAAAGATAGTCTCCAGCAGGAAGTCAAGAATCTGAAGTGTAAAGTTGGAGAGCTCAATGAACGGCTGGGAATGTTGATGGAAACCATTCAAGCTAAAGATGAAGTCATCATGAAACTCTCTCGTCAGCTCAGCGAGTGTGAGGACAGCGCATCCTCTCAAAGTGGAGCAATAAATTCCCCCACAGCCACCTGTACTAATAAGGAACTGCAGGAACTGGACAGACTAAAAGTAAGAGCACTGTCTCTGTCTTGATGCATAGGGGAATTTCTTCTCTCTGTAAAAGTACTTTTTAGTCTGCTGTTCTGTTTGAGATCACTGTAGCAGTTCCCCAGCACACTCATCAACGGAGGCCTTCTCAGCTTGGAACCTCCACTTGAAGCTGCTGTGGGGGTAACCAGAACTTCCTCCCTTTGGGCCATCTCTAGTGCAGGGCTATGCTTTCAGTAAATTAATCATTGGTGTGGAGCAGAAGAGATGTAAGAAATAATCAGATGAGCAGGAAGGATTAAGGGTAAGAGGAAAATACAAGCATGGAGAATACAAACAGAAAGCTTGCTTTGTTTTTTTTTTTTTATTTTAAATATCAAAAGTGAGGTAACAAAGAGCGTGTGGAAAAGCAAAGGGAAGCTCTGAGGAGACAAAAAAGAGGGAGGAGTATAAGAACCTGTTTTACTAAAACTGCTACAGCTCTTACTAATGTTTTATTTTTATTCTGTAACACCTCTCTGAATGTGTTACAAGTTCTTAATGGAGTTACTGAAGTTATCCACTTTGCTCAAAATAGGCTTTCTTGCCTTTGGGTAAATGTTGTATTTCAAATTGATTAGCATTCCAAAGAATTTGAAATATAAATAAGTTGCTTAAAATATGCTTAAACTTATATAATTTTCTTTCTTACATGTGAGCCTGGTAAGTTTTAATAAATGAAGCTGAAACTAGAAGTCAGTGGTCTTGGCAGAAAGCAGAGCTCGTAGATGCTGGGGAGTGTGGGAGTCCTGTGGCTGCTGGGAGGGTACCAGCCTCATCTCACAGGCTCAGCTTTCAGAGGCAGTGTTTGTAGCCAGGATCTGAGTGGACTAGGCAGGGAAGGTCATTGCTAAGGATTTATTTTTCCGTACGGAGGCAGAGATGAAACTGGTACTGTTAATGAGGGCTGGTGAGGGTGGTGAAAACCCAAGGGGATTCATCCCCCCATTTTTGGGTTGCTGTGGCCTCTGGGATGGGCTCAGCCTGCATGTGCCTGTTCTCCCTGCCAGCGGCCAGCTGCCTTCTGCAGGCCGTGGAGCACTGGGAGGGATGCAGGTGAGGCACAGCACCACCCTGTGCTCATATTTGGCATGTGCGTTTCATTTACATGAAATCAAAAAATAATACTTGATTTGTGCCTGATATTTTTAATTAAAATCCTGTTAGTAGCTGCTGTTTCTATGCTCTAAGGTGATCTTTATCTGACAGGCATAATCCACTTCATTTTTCTGTTGTTTGTTTTTTTTTTTTTTTTTTTTTTTCAACAGGAAAATTTATCAACAGGACAATCTTCAGGGTTATAAGACCCAGAATAAATTTTTAAATAAGGAGATTTTAGAACTTTCTACTCTACGAAGAAATGCAGAAGCAAGAGAGAGAGAATGGCAGGCAAAGGTCAGCATGTTCTCACTTGGCAATGTCTAAAGCAGTTTTCAATACTTTAGCCCTAAATCTACCCAGGAAATGGAACCATTTAAGTGTATTAAATATGATAGCTTAAAAAAAAAAAGCCCTCTCAGTTCTTACAGACCAATCTTTCTGAATAGGTTCTTAAAAGAAGTAATTGCTTTTAAAATTGTGTGACCAGTGGAACATTTTAATAACTTATGAACAAAGGCATGTACATGTCTGAAAACATTGTTTCCTCAGAATTAAGGCTATAAGGATTTTTTTCAAGGTCAGTGACAGGATGTCTAAGGACTTATAGGTCACTATCGAGCTTTCTGCTGAGCACAAAGGATGACTGTGTTATGGTGAATGTCATTTCTGTCTGGATGAATTTGAGTGTAGAGATGTTGCAGGTAAATAATAAAGATTTCAGTGCTTGGGGTTAGGGAGAATGCACTCATCTATAACTAAGGTTAGATACCTGTAGCTGGTTTGGTAGGCTTTGCTTTTAGTTGTTTGCAACTCAGTGGCCAGGTTTAAATGCTGTATTTTTGGCACAGAGGTGTGTGCTTACAATTCTTACTATTATATTCTTACTATTACTATACTTAATATTATTATAATGCTATTACCTGACTCATATGCCACTTAAGTTGTCCTTGTTCAAACATGCACGGACTAAAGCTGCTACAATGCAACTATTTGTTCTTTTAAGGTATGTCATACAATGCAGTGATAATTAAGGTTTGCTCAGAATTTCCACATGCAAAAATACTTGTGGTGGAAATCTGGCCTACTATGCTGTCTTATGTTTCCCGGCGTTACAAAAATGGGGAAGTTAAGCTGGCTGTTCTTGACTTAGATGTTTCTAAGCAGCATAAACCAATAGAATAGCATTGAGCCAGGTTTTAAAAGAAGTGTAGTACAAAGTATGTGTCTAAAGATTTGTATCGTGTATTGTTTTCTGCAGTATACCAGCTTAGAAGCCAAACTCTGCCAGATTGAAAGTAAATACTTGATCTTGCTTCAAGAAATGAAAACTCCTGTTTGTTCTGAGGATCAAAGTCCTGCTCGTGAGGTTATCACACAGTTACTGGAAGATGCCTTGAAAGCAGAACCCAGTGAACAACCAGAACAAGCATTTTTCAAACCCCACCTGGTCAGGTAGTTTGGTCCTGTTAAATTAAATGTATGTGTGTCTTGGCCAGTGGGCCCTATTATAACACTGGAAAGCAGACAGTGAGACCGTATTTGCAGGTTTGGGTTATTTATTGTATTTCCCTTCATTAATGAGGGAATTGTCATGAAATCCTTTTAGCTGTATAAAAACATTGTCTTGGGGAAGACATCTGGTGCAGGTCAAAATGCAGATTGAGCTCTGGGTGGGCTAATCTGGAAGATGAGGGGCCACGAGGCCTGGTGGCACCAGCCAGGTAAGGAGCACTGGGAGGCACAGCGAGGACTCAGGAGGAGGAGGGCTGTGAGGAGCTAAAAGCTGTGGGATTCCTTTGTTGAGGTGCTTCGTGGCATGGCCCGGGCTGTGTCTGTGTGCCTCGAATGAAGTGTTTTATGGAGCCTGAGACTCTGCCGAGGGAAGCCTGGGGTGGAAGCTGTGAGGAAACCTGGCCGGGCTGTGAGTGTGAGGTGTGCAGGCGCTGAGCAGGAGCTGTTGGGGGGGCTTTGGCCCCAGCAGTGACATCTCTGTTGGGAGTGTGGCTGCCAGGGAGTCTGAGAAATGGTCCATTGGGAAATGTCACTGACACATTTATTCATTAATTGAGACAAATATCAAACTTAGACAAAGGTATTGCCCCTACAGCTGCTGAAGGTGAGCTGCTGAGGAGATGGGTACATTCCAACTCGACCATGTTGTTAAATAAATTACTTAGTTTGTGTAGTATACATGAACATGAGCGCCAAGTCTTTTGTATATGGAATTGTACAAGTAATTGTTAAATAAAGAATATACTTCAGAAAAGTGTTTAATAAGAAGAACTTGAGAGCTATGGAGAGTGGCTGTGAAGTAACTTTATGGTGAGAACTTGAGAGCTTCAGGGCTACTGATCATATTTTTAAAACCTTTTTTCTTCCCTCCATTACAGTGAATATGATATATATGGTTTTCAGACTATCCCAGAGGATGATGATGAGGAGAAACTAGTAGCAAAATCACGAGCTTTGGACTTGAGATCACTTTCACTTAGTGAAAATCGAGAGATCTCCACAGGAGTGAAATGGGAAAACTATCTTGCAAGCACAATGAATAGAGAGATGATGCGCTGTGTGGAACTGAAGAACCTTATTCGGTCTGGAATTCCGCATGAGCACCGTTCCAAGATGTGGAAATGGTGTGTCAATCTCCATGTTAAAAAGTTCAAGGACAGTGCAGTACCTGGCTACTTCCAAATCTTGCTTCAAAAAGCTCTGGAAAAACCAAATCCTGCATCTAAACAGATTGAGTTGGATCTCTTGAGGACTTTGCCAAACAACAAACATTACTCCTCCCCAACATCTGAAGGGATCCAGAAGCTGCGAAATGTGCTGCTGGCATTTTCCTGGAGAAATCCTGATATAGGATATTGCCAAGGGCTCAACAGGTAAGATTTTGTTTATCTTGGTTAATAAGTATACAGTGAAACACCTAGTGAGCCTTTCAAATCCCATGTATGGCAACATGGTTTCGAACAACAGTTTGCCTTATGGGCTGTATGCTCATAATTTATAATAAACAAATTACTATCACATTTTTTAAACCAATGACAAAAGCAGTTGACCTGGATAGTAAGTTTTGTAAAATCAACTTGGCATCCAAACTGGAACTGGAATTAACTCTTAAGAAATGAGCTACTCAAATGTAGTTTTACATTGACTTCATGTCAGTTGTAGGGGATTGTGTTGCTTTTTTGTGCAAGAATTTGTTAGGTTTTTTCTTCTTTTAAAGCAAACAGAAAAAAATGCTTGAAAACATTTTTTCATATTGTTAAGGCAATACATTTGAGCATTTTCCACTGATGTCTTCAATCAGAATTGCAGAATTTAAAGGGGATTCTTGTGTTACAATGCTAAGAAAAATTCTTATTCGTTGCAGTTGGCCTTTGCCAGAATAGCTTTGCTACTTGGAGATCTGTAGTAAATGAAGGTGCTACTTGAAGCAGGTGTGTTGGTCTAACACCCTGTCTCATCCCCATGATGTAATACTATAGATGCCCACTTGTGCACTATTTTATGTACTAGCGAAGGTTTTTGAACTTACAGCAGCTTTGTCTTTTGAAAGAGCACTAAAGAAGTAGTAGAATAGAAGCAGTGAGTCATGTAGTAGAGGTGGTGAGGTAGTGGTGGTAGCAGTAGTAGTAATGTGGAAACCTCCACCTAACACCCTTAGAATAAACATCTCCTTTCTAAACTAGACTCTGTGTTTAGAGGGCTCTTAAAATTGGCAACACCAAGAAATTCTTAGAGCAAGTTTTTGCCTTTTTCTGTTTTCTTATTTAGCTGAATACAAATACTTGGTGTGGCTGAGAAGGCATGGCTTTGCCCCATCTTAAAATTCATCAAGTTTTGCTGTTCAGTGCTCTGCTGTTAATACATTTACCTCTGCTGAACAGAAAAAAATACTTTAATGGTTCTTACTGTAGTTTGTATCTTTAATAACCTTCTCCTCCAAATAAACTCTGTTTTCAGGTTGGTAGCAATTGCACTTCTGTACTTGGAACAGGAAGATGCTTTTTGGTGTCTAGTAGCAATAGTGGAAGTTTTTATGCCTCGTGATTATTATACTAAGACACTGCTGGGATCCCAGGTATGTGCTCTGCTGGGATAAAGCCTGGTCCTGTAAACTGCAGCCAGTCAACAGCTTTCCTCTGCAGCTGTCTGATGGGCCCCTTTGGAAGGGGATGGGAGTGGAGTTGACAGGGGTGGGTTCCAAGCACAAGGACCTTGTTTGGACAAGGACTTTAACAGTGAGATAGTTGTTCAGTATCCTGCTTGGAGTCCTTAACCCCCCTTCTCATTGATAGCTTCACAACCCTGAGCTGTGTTATCGTTCCTTTCCTCACGTTTGGGGGAATGGTGGTGCAAGGCTCTGGGGCGGGCAGGGTGAGAATGTGTTTGCAGTGCTGTGGGCAGTAGCTGCCGTAGCATTCCTGCTTCCAGGTGATGCTATGGTCCAGGCTTCCTTCTCCAGCCAGCATTCTCTCTGCTTCTGTGTTCCTGCACCAATGCAGTACTGGTGATCAGTATTAGAAACACCCCACCTGTGCTGGAGGAGCCTTGTGAGGCCGGGGCTGGGTTGAGAAGCAGACAAGGGCAATCTGCAGCGGGGTCGCTGTGCGTGCTTTGGGTGGATCTAGCTTGGAGGTGCGAGCTACACAATCCTGGGTTTCCTGGTTACCTCTGGAAAAACTTGCACTTACAGATTTGTAACAGCCTTGCTCTGAATGATGTGCTGGAAAATTGGAACAATAACACTCTATTTGTCATCCCTTTAGGTTGATCAGCGAGTGTTTAAGGATTTATTGAGCGAGAAGCTTCCACGATTACATGCTCATTTTGAACAATATAAAGTTGATTATACTCTCATCACTTTCAACTGGTTTCTTGTGGTTTTTGTGGACAGCGTGGTTAGTGACATCCTTTTCAAAATCTGGGACTCCTTCCTCTATGAGGGACCAAAGGTGAACCTAATGGGCTGAGTTTGTTCATTTGTTACCTGATAACAAAGTACTGTGGTGTTACTGAGTGCAGGGCTAAAAGAAGGTTGCTTTGCAAAACTCCTGTTAGTTAAAATGACATCTAGGAAAAAAACAAGGGAGAAACTGTGCATAACCATTCAAAACATTTTCCAGACTTTGGAAGTAGGGACTGGGGCAGGGAAGGGAGATAGAGGTGTGACTGAAGGGCTTAAGTGCAGCCTGTGCGTGAGGAGCTCTTGTTGGGGGTTTATAAAGATGGTCATGAAACTCAGTGTATTCTGTACTTACAAAGTACCAAATATTATATGTATTTTTATCAGGTAATATTCCGATTTGCCCTAGCACTGTTTAAGTACAAAGAAGAGGAAATCTTAAAGCTGCAAGATTCAATGTCTATTTTCAAGTACCTTCGCTATTTCACACGCACCATCCTTGATGCCAGGTGGGTAACTCACACTGGGGTGGCACTGAGGGACTTGTAGTGGGCCATGGGAGATGTCTGTCTTGTGGCTTTGGTTGTTTTCACCTAGATCTTAATTCATATATAAAGCAACTAGAGATGCAGCCAACTGCTAGGATTTGTCGTGAGCACTTTTATCTAGTAGAGACAAATCAGAAGTGATGTAGGCTTAAATAGTAATTTTTGCTTGTGAAGGAGATTACCTTGTTTAGGTGTTATATCGTGGTACCAACACGTCAGAATTTCAACCATAGGTGAAGTTTCCCTCTGCATTGCAGATGTAACTTGTTACAACTAAAATGTTTTATGATCAGTGAAAATACATCCTGGTTCAAGCATTAAAGACATGAGCCCTGTCCCCCACAGCTTAAATCTCTTGTGCATGGTTAATGCATGGGCTCCTGCCACATAGTTCCAGCTGGTTTTAATACATACTTGGAAGCAGAATTTGTACTAAATACAAATTAGATAATTTTCTTGTCTTCAGTCCTTGCACAGGAGTTACAGTTTGTAAATTAGGGTCTAGTGTTTTTAGATTCCTGGTTTCAAGACTGTAGAGCAGCAGGTTAATCTTAAAAAGAAAAGTCATACTGGGATTGGTTTAATATCTGAAAATGTTTCGCACATATTTTGAAGTTCACTAATTTTCAGTTTAGAGAAGAACTGGGTATTGAAATCTGAGATTTTTTTTTTATGTGATAAACTCCACATAAATTGAGGCTTACACTTTGACTCCTGCTGCAAGGGCTCTATTATTTTTACTTCTTGTGATTCAGTTTTGACTGGAGAGAAGTTAAAGCCGAATAAGCTTGTGTTTGAAAGGGATTGCTGGGATTGATGCAGAGAGAAAAAAACTAAATTTTTTGTTCTTACCTAATCCAAACAAAATTTTGATATTTAATCAGAGGTGAAGATTTGGCTTTCTATTCCTTTTCCATTTGTGGAAATTACGTCTTGATTCTACTGTCTAAACTTTCTGGTGCTGAAATAACCTATTTTAAAGATTTCTAAAATTGCTGAGTTTGGTGTTAACAAATGAACTAATTAGGGATCATTGGGGGATGGGGAGTTCAAGTGAGGACAGAAGGACAGAATTCAGTACATCAAAGATATTTGCAATACAAATATGCTTTGTGCTGATCTGTAAGTCTCTGTCTTTTGGGGTTTTAAGGGTGGAAGCAGTGCAGTGCCACCTAGGGAATATGGATCTGCATGCTAGGACTAACAAGACAGAATTCAAACTGCCTGTTTTCTTATTCTGCCATGTTTGTACAAGTTTTACATCATCAACATTTGAGCAGTACAGAAGCACGTAGGATGAGGCCTTTCTTGATATGGACGAAAAATGATCCTGTTATAGAGGAAAAATTCAGAAATATTTGTTTGTATAGAATTCATGGATGTTCTGAATGGTTAAAATCATTCTGCACAGAGTTTCTAAGTTCAAACTCTGTAGTAAGTGAAAGGTCTCTACAGACACGTGCATAATTGTATTGTAGTTACAGGATGTCATAGCTGGGTTTTTCTACAGAGCCATGGCATGTTGTGCACAGGTGGAGAAGCTGCTGGAATATCTTCTGTGTAGAAGTAGCAGGAAATCATTCCTTGATCACTCAAAAATACAAACCTACCATTAAATAAACTGTCCAAAGAAGTTTTCTTAAATAGAATAAATTAAATATTCCAGTTCCCCTTTTTTCCTTATTAAACAAAGATGGGTTTGGGTGTAGATCAGCAATAATGGTGTAGTTGGATGCAGTCGTTTTGGACTGATTAGACTGACCAGTTGCACGGTTTGCTGAGACTGCAGGATGGTATGATGCACTGTGACTCTGGAAGGGGTCTGGATCCTCTGTGGTGCTTCGCATTGTGCTTTGACATGTTTGGCTTGACACTGGTCTAGAGATCTCTGTGCTCCAGCCAGCAGAACCCCCAGAGCATTCCACTGTGTTGGAAACTATGGCTTGTCCATGTTCTGTATTATCTTGTCTGCGTCTGTGTTGTCCCTGGCTTTATCTGGTCTCTTGATTGTCAGATTATCTTGGTTAACTGAAGAGCTGAGTGATTTGGGATCGAAGGAGACGCTGTGGGTTCTGTGGAGGAAGTTATCCAATCTCTACAGGTAACTGGATGTACTGAGTATCCAGTGTAGCCAAGGAAGCTCTGATGACCCAAGCTTATGTATTCTGCTCAGCATTTCAAGGCTGTGACCTTTATAGCAGAGATTACAGGTGGCTTGGGGAACTCTTGAGCATTTTATTACACTTTATTACTTGAAATAACCTTAAGCCTGAATGCTTTATAGAAATTTCTTGAAGTAGTGATAACATCTGAGACCTATGAAGTGTGCAAGAGACCAGAGATATGTGACATATGATTGATAAAAGTCGATGTGGATGAAGTTTAAAAGCCCACCAAATACGAATGATTGTCTTCTACTATTATGTAATCTTGCAGGAAACTGACTGCTATTGCTTTTGGAGACCTGAACCCTTTTCCCTTACGCCAGATCAGGAACCGCAGGGCCTATCACCTGGAGAAAGTGCGCCTGGAGCTGACAGAGCTGGAAGCCATCCGCGAGGACTTCCTGCGTGAGCGAGAGACCTGCGTAGAAAAAAGAGACCTTATTAGTGATGATGAGGAGGATAGCTGAAACTGCTTAATATAAACTGTTCTTTGGGATCATGACCAAAGTGAGTTAACCTCCAAAACACTTTATTAATCCTGTGAAACAGAATGTAAACTCATTGCTTTTGGAAATATGCAGGACAGATTTCCAAATCCCAGCACTTTCAGAAATACCACTTAGTATGGAGGCCAAACACTTCTGTTTACATTTATGTTCCTGGAATCATTTGTAGAGCACTTAATATCTGTCTCAGTTTAGTCAATCAGCTGAATTGACAGTTGTTTTCTCACAGTGCACCATTAATTGTCTGGATGTGAAACAATAAGAAAAGGCCATGCTCTGTTACATTCATTGCCATTCTGAGTTTAGGGGTTTTTTGATGTAATCATGTTTTCTGTAGTGCAGGCTCAATGTGAGCGGACATCCATATTTCTTAGGTTCAGGTTGGCTCCATCCAGCCTTTCTTGAGGTTGCTAACCAGAAAAGCATGGGATGAAGATTCCTTTGTCTTTTCCTGCAGTGTCATGCAATGAATCACCAAACAGAACCCTTGAATATGTGTACTCTAAAGTAAAGGTAAAATAAGTACCTATTTCTGTTACTGCCTGTCGAGTGTGTACTGAAACAGTGGTAGCAAACATGATTTCTACTTTTCAGGGCAGCTGTGTCGATAAAGATTCTCATTAATGGAAAGGGGTTTAGAGATCAAACTCTCTTTAATCAATTTTATTTTTATTCACTGTTTTGATTGGAATGGTTCAAAAATGCCACAACCAAACTCCAGATATTATGGAAGAATGGAGCTTGTCACAGGAGTACCATGCTTTAGGAGCTAATTTTTTGCATATGTGTTGAAGGGTTGTTTTGATATGATTTTTTTGTTTCTGTGAAGGTTTTTTGTTGTTTTTTTTTTCCTTTTCTTTTAATGCTTCTTCCTCTTCAGGACCTAAGGTGAAGTCTCGCTCTTTAAGAAGAAACACAGCATGCTTTCTGCATGATTGTAGAACTATTGTACAATAGTGGTAGTGACTGGGTTCATAATACAAATATTTACCAATCAATCAAATGAAACCTAAAGGTCACAGCATGCACACAGGAGCTGAAGATCCTTTTTCAACAGAAAAATGCAATATTCTCCTAATGCACTCAGCTTTACTGTGAGTGTTGGATGCACTTCCTGCGAGACAGCTGTAAGGAGCAACATCTGGGCTGTTGAGCTATAGTGTTTCTGCTGTGGAAGTGTTACTTGGGGCCATTTTCTCTCATTTGGTGACTAGCAGTGTTCATGTGTGGTTCTTGGGAGAAGGAGGGTTACTTTCTTGCTGGCTATTCTATGGACTTTTACAACGTTTTTTCTTGAACTGTTGGATTTTCAGAATGTTGTATTGAATATAGTGTGTCATGATAAAACTACGATTCAAATACTAGGCAGCAAATCACCAGGCTCTGGGGAAGTGGTTAATTAGCAAAACAGAAAACTAATCATTGGGAAGAGTCAAGTGCATCGAGCTTGTATTTTATGTGTTTTGTTTTGCTTTTCTAGAAGTAGTAGAACTTTATTGGATATAATCATGTAACTGTTTTAGTCAACTTAAGTGTGGGCAGAGAGAAATCCTGCTTCTGATTCACAGCACTTTTAAAAAAAATTATTTTAGATAATCTAGTTGTAGCCTTCTCCAAGTAAGCATATTATAAGTTAGTTTATATGGAAGGGAACTATTTAATCAGAGGTGATGTTGTAACTTAGAGGACTACTTTTGATACGAAATTTATGCTTCCTGTATGACTCATAATTTTTACCTAGCCAGCAAATCCTTGCCAATAAGGAACGGATGATTTGTATGTTACTAGTCTTCTGAAATGTCCTCTACATTGTCTGTGGTAGGAAGTAGCTAGGGATTTTTTTCTAATTCCCTAGTTACTTTTGGTTGTGTACTGGAGGGCAGGGTTTTGATATTATTGCATGTACTGTATTCTTTTTCTACTTACAATCAGTATTTGAATACAAAAAATGGGACCAGGTTTTCTAATTTTCTAGTTATGCTGTCTTGGTTTTGAAAGAGCTGGTCTCTAAATCAATATGTAATGCAGGCTTTTTTTTGTATGTTTGTATTAATGATGTTGTCAAGTGTTAAATGAATTTTTTGTTAAGGTGAAGATCTTCCTTTCAGTGACCACAAGTGAAATATTAAGGTGAAGAATTTAGATACTTGTACTTACCCTATTTCTACAATCCATTTTTTTTTGGCTTTGAGTCTTCACTGTGAACTAGTCCTATGACATCAGGAGATGTTTTCAGACTGATTCCGTTGAAGTTTTTGGGTTGTGAAGATAAAACTAAGTTTGAGGCAATGGTTCAGGAAGTTCTTTAGCTGCCAAAACACGACCTGCAATATTCCAGGACCATTTCTGTTGGAGTTGTGCTGATGGTTCAGTTTGTGTGCGCATGTGTTGCTGTGTTTCGTTCTATTAAGTTGTTTCCACTTGTACAGAAAAGCTAAGTAGCTCTATTTCTTCTGCCATGGTGTGACTGTTACCCACAAATGCTAGGAATCCTGTGGAAGTTGTGTTGTCTCTGGGTATTTTGCCAGCTTGCAGATAAGAAATGAGTCGATGCTGTCATGCTCAAGTTCCCAGCAAGCTGTTGGCTTCATGTTGTTAAGCCTTGTTACTGATTTAGTGATGAGCTAAAAGGCCAAAAAACTGCAGAGGCTTCTCACCTCTGGCCACTAGAAGTCTCCATGGAACAAAAATAAGATGTATAGCAGGAAGTAACATCAGGGGAGCTTGCCTTGCTTGCTGTTGCAAATGTCATTGTGTGACTTAGTTTTCTAGTGGTGCTTAAATCTGGTTACCTTGGAGAGTAGTAACTCATTAGGGACAAGCAGGATACACAGGCAGTATGTAAACCTGATGAAACCAGGCCAAAATACAGTGTACCTCAGTGGCCTGCCAAAGCTGAGCTGCATGGAGCCCCAGAGTTTGTGCTTGTGTGTGAACTTCTGAGGTGGTGCATGAGGTTTACCATTCATGCCAGCCAGATGGTGGGCACTTGACCTATTCATGCACATAAGAACTGCCAAGAAAATATTTTAACTTCAAGGCCTTGCACATAACGTGCAAAGAGTTCCTCATGTGTGGTTCCCAGAATATGTGATGTAATCCAGACCACTAAGTTGCATTGTGCAGAATATTCCTCCATCTCTATTCACGTGTGCATGGCTTCCTGGTGAAACTTTTCATTAGTTGTTCAAAAGGATCTGTTATCTTCTGTTAAATAGGCAAAAAATTGGTGCACTACACCTCTAGTTATTAGAACTGCACAGTATTTCAGCTTGACCTGTTTACAGGTAGTGTTATCATCCAGTATTATCACATTGTTTGGTGGTCTTCTTTTTACCAGCTATGTAATCAATAAAAAGAATTTTTCTGTTGCCTTTTTGGTGTCTTCTGTGAGAGAGTCTCCCCTTCCCTTCAGTGTTTGTAAACATGGTAAGATATTTCAGCAGAAAGGGAAAGATTTTTTTCTTCATTATAAAACATCAGAAATGAATGGATGGTCTTAAATTTGACAGAGACACATAACTGAGAAATGGCAAGTTGATTAATTTAATGAAATTGTATAGCTGTTTAAGCAACTGTTCCCTTAAGTGCCATGTTAAAAATCAGCAATATGCGGTACAAGAAATTTGAATCACAAACGTAAGTGATGTTATCTTCATGAAGATTGATGTAAAGAAAAAATAAATTCTTTATTACTTTATAGATTGCTGTGGTGGTTCTTCTTTTTTTTTTTTTCCCATAACAGATGGAAATATCTGCAGGTGTCATCAGAACAAACCAGTGGTAGAGCGTGCATTTTTGTCTGATAATGAGGTGTGAGAAAATCTCTATAAAGGAACATACATGTAAACTTGGCTTTGAAGCATGAAGCGTGAACTATAGACATGTTGCATGCAGGTGATGCTGACTGGGTAGACTTGTTGTTGATGTTCTTCATTTCTTGGGAGAAGATGGAGGGAGACAAAATTTGCATGAGTGTTCACAGGAATTTTCTGAGTTGACACACTTTCTGGGAAACATACTTGTATAATATCTCCTGACACCCCCAAAAGCTTCTTTAGGAGGCTTGGTAGTGATGTTCTGCACAGTCTTTTGTAGTCAAATAAATAATTTTAGCTGTTTTGAAAATTTAACCAAATAATTAATTTGGAAATCAAGTCTCACTATCTGTCTTTCAGATACGAATTTTGCATTTTGAAATTGCTTGAGTCCCTTGAAGAAGGAATACCTCAGCTACTTCAGATATGTTACTTAATAGCTAAGTGTAAGGGAGGAAGGAAGAAGAGTTGGGACATGACTGTAATTGCATATCCAGGCCTGTCTTTAGATTAGAGGTGAATAGTGCACAGTTCTTGTCCTCTGGCTCTGCTACAGAATGGCAAGCTGTTATAGGAGTAGATATTGGCACAAGCTGGAAATCTGTTCAAAGGCGGTTGCAAAACAGGATGGAGATTAGCAGTTGGGGCAGAACACAACTATGGCCTAAGGACCTTGTATCCTGTATACTGAAAATTTTAGGTCAGATAAACATACAGAAAATTCTGGGAAGAGAGTGCATGGGGAGCAATGTCCTCACTTGGATACTTGGCATGTTTAGCTTGAGTGGGTTGTATTGCCCTGAGCAGCTGCTGGGGCCTGCAAAGAACAGCTGAGACTCCCATTTGCTCCTTAGAACTAAGTTTGAAGCATCTGCTCTCAGTGAGATTGTAATAAGGATGTGAGCGTGGATGATGTGTGTTAAAAATCTGGTTCCTAAGAAATGCATAACTTAGTATAAGCACAGCTGGCCTACTCTGAACCAAGACCAAATACCTGCAGAGTCTCACTGCTCTGGCTGCCTGAGGGATGCAGAGAACACTCTGAATCTGCTGGTATTACAAGGTATCAGGTGTTCCTTCTCTGGGATTTTCAGAAGTGTGAAACATAGCTTCCTTATCTGCAGCTCCTTGACCTCAACAGAAATCAGAATCCATGTAGTGCTGAAGCTTTAAGAATTCCCACACATGAAATATGTTCCCTCAGATAATGCAAAGGAAGGGTGTGCTCTGCTTTGGAAACTTCCCCCCTGGAAAACAAGGTAAAAGGTTCAATCAGAAGTTAGCAGAGTGGTATTTTCACTGTGATGATCAGCAGTAAAAGGCACATTTATCTACAGTTCAAGGATGCCCACCTGTAGTGCCAGCTTTTCAGACCATGAGACTAGAAAGCAAAACTCAGGGCTATATACTGAATGTGATTAAAAAAAACACAGTTATTAAATATATATATCCAGTAATTATAACATTTCATATTAGAATATGCCTGGTAAATTAAGATGACTTTGGCCAACTAAGATTCCCCTGGTCTTGAGCAGCTGCATTCTGCTTTTGTCTCTCAAATGCAATGTCCTTTTGGTGTGTACAAACCAGCTAGGTTGTGCAGTGAGTTTCCCCTAAGATGAATAGAATCAGTGATGTCTTCAGGCACTGTGATTAGTGATTAAACTGTGCAATATTGCTATTTGCCTGTTTTAAAAAATGCAGGTGGTGTTCTGGTTTTTAATCCTGGAACTCCCCCTTTGGAGCATGTTTGGAACCCATAAGGTGTGGATTTCCTACTTTGTCACTTCTAAAGGAGGCTAGCAAATGCGTGGCTGCAGTGTTTGCTGGTGTTCCCTACTTGAAACACTGCTCAGGTTTGAGTTTTCTTTCTTGCCCTGTATGCACATAAAGGCTTTTACCTTCATCCAAAGATGTTAAAAAGAAGTCTTGAGTTAGTGTTTTAAGAGTGAAAACTTCAGAAGCATGAAAAAGCAGCATCCTACTTAGGCAGAACCTGTATTTGGGCTTACAAACCCTGTGGACATGGCAGCAGGTATGGGATTCAATCTACCTTTGCTTCTCTTGGAAACCTTTATTCAAAGTTATTCTCGGTCTGGGTGGGGGGGTTGTTGCAATTTGAAAAGCAGATGTAGCCTCTCAGGGTGTTTTGTTCCCTTCCTTGCAGCTAGGAGCAAACAAAAGTGGTGGCCTTCCTCGTGCCCTTTTGCTCTGAGAATTTTGTAGTAGGATTGCTGTGACTTCCATGTGATCATATCCCATTATAGAACTACAGATGAGAAATTAAATATCTTTATTTCCCTTTGAGAGAGTTCTGAATGCTTCCACTGCCCTTTGAAACATTTACTATTGCTCCCATTTCCTGCTCTCCACCCTGTGTAGTATCAGATGCAGCCACTTTCCTTTCGGAGTTGGAAGAGCTGGGTGGAACTCGTGAGCTGTGAACGCCACTCCCAGGGCAGGCGATCCGGGGCACAGTTCAGTCCACTTGACTTGGGACAAGCCAAGTTTCTTTTAAACTGTGATAATAAAAACCACTGCCTTTAGGTACTTGCCTAGAATAAATCACTCTTAAATTTAGCTATCTTCACACCATACGGCAAAGGAAAACATCCTGCTTATTTATGTATGATAGTTTGCCGTTACCGTTGTGTTACCTTAATCACATAGAGGATTGAAAGAGAAGGCAACCTGGTACTTGTAATTTATTTTGAAGGTGTGAACAATCCCACATTATTTTTCACTAGCAAATGATGGATATTAACTTGCCCAGAAGAAATGCAAGGAGACCTAAGAGTGTTTACTGCGATTACTGTGTGTCAAATAAAGCCGGAGAAAATCTAGTTTTATGGATTTTGGGGATGTCTTTATGATGGGAGAGTTAACAGATGAGCAATGTCGTTGTTGGAAGGCAGCACTTGGGCTACAGCAGCTTGGGAAGCAGGATGGCAGAGGTTTGTTACAGCAGTGCATGTGAATGCAGCTTGAGCTGCACGGGTGAGGTCTGGCAGCCTGTGCTGTTCTTTGCCACAGTGGTCTCTTGAAACAACGGGCAATTTCACTGGGTAATGGTGAGTTTCAGACCACACCGTAACCAAATCTAGGCTTGTGTTTCGGCTTGTAGAGAATACAGAAACAAAGCTTGTACAACTTAAGTGCCTCTACATTGGATTGGCCTCCTCAGCCTTATTTTCTTAGTACTGCTTTCACATATCTTGTATGTACTAAAGCAAGGAATTCTACATCTGAGATGTTTCCCAGTCAGCCTGGGTGAGCTGTGTTGGACTGGAAAGCTTTGGACCGGCCCAGCTTGAGGTATCTGCATCCCATTAGGGGCAGTGCAGGGCTGCTACAGTCGTGGTGGTGCGGGGTGCCCCGCAGGCTGCATCGGCCCCACACTGCCACCAGACAGCATTGCCGCGGCCGGAGCGATTGTCCGTCCGCCCCGCAGCCAGCCCGACACCGCCGCCTTCCCCTCACGGGCTGCCCTGGGCGGAGCGCGGAGCCGGGCCCCTCCTCCGGGCCCGCGGCGGGCGGGGCCCTGCGGCTCCTCCGCCCGGCCCGGCCCGGCCCTGCCCTGCGCGCTCACGGAGCCCGGCGGACGCGGTAAGTGGGCGCTGCCCCCTCAGTTGGCGGCGCCTCCGCAGGTTCCCTTCTCTATGTTCCTCTGGGTCTCCCTTACGCTGAGTCGCCCTCACGGCGCTCCCGCTCCGCGTCCCGCCTGTGAGGTGTCGCGGCTGTGCAGCACCTCTGGCCGGGCAGCTCCGGGGTCGGCGGCGAGTCCCTCCCGCGGAGCTGGGGGTGTGCGGACCCTCGGCCTCTTCACGGTGTCTGTGTGTGCCCGCAGCCGCCGTCCGGGGACAAAGGCAGCTCCCCGCAGCATCCCCGCCGCGAGCAGCTGTCCTTTCTCCCCGGTCAGGTGCCGCAGGGGCCGGTTCCACAAGTGCCCTTGTTGGTGCTGCATGCCGCTCGGTCTGGCGCTGTTCCTGTCCGAGGCCATCGGGAACATTCAGCGAATGCTGTGCTCAGCTTCCATCGTTTATCCGCAAGTTTCTTCCTGCCTTTTCCCTCAAGCAGCTTCACTTGGGTTTCTTTACACCTGTTCCTCTGCCCGTGGGCCGAGGGGTCCTGGGGCAGCGCAGCACCGTGAGGGGACTGGTTTGGCTGGCCTGCATGAGTGTAGGGGACAGTCAGGAAGGAAGATGTGAGTCGCAGTGCTCACCTGCTTAATGCGAGAGGGCAAAGCTCATCTCTGACCCCTGTTTTGAAACATCAGCTGGTTTCAGACTTTCCTGTGCCTTTCAATTGCTGGTGCAAGAAACAGAGATCGCAGAGGCGAGGTGTCCCTCTTGTCTTTGGGGCAGTGATGTGAATGATGAGCAGCAGTAATCCTCGGAGGCGCCTCAGGTACGGGGAGCAGGGCTGTGCCCGTGCCATGCCAGCGTGCCTGGCATTGCGGCTTCCCTGCGCCCTGGGCGTCCAGGCTGTGCTCCCACCCAGCTCATCGCTCAAGCACGCCGGGCTTTGGCATCGCCGGCCTGGGCTGGGAGCTGGGAGCTGGAATTAGCTGCAGAGCCAATGTGTTTGTACGTGTGCTTGAAGCGGAGGCTTGGAAATAGTCTTGGGTCGTTTGCTACACGTGTAATTACTGCAGGGTAAATTTGGGAGGTCACAAAGGGCGCCCTTGAGAGTTAGTGGCAGGAGCAGTGATTCTGTATCACTGGGATTGAATGCTCAGATGGTCAGTGTGCTTTGTGTTTTTTATAGACACACGGGTAGTAATAGTTGCCCCAATTTCCTGGCAGAAGAATTTTTAGGCTACTTTTGTTTTTTGACGGGAAAATGTTTCAGTGAAAATAAGGGTTTGCTGGAACTGATAGAA